CTCAGTACTGCCATGATTGAAGTGAGCCCTTACACATCCGTCTCACTGCTGTCATAATTGAAGTGAGCCCATACACATTCGTCTCAGTACTGCCATAATTGAAGTGAGTCTCACACATCCGTCCCAGCGTTGTCATAATTGAAGTGAGCCCTCACACATCCGTCTCAGTGCTGTCATAAATGGAGTGAGCCCTCACACATCCGTCTCAGTACTGTCATGATTGAAGTGAGCCCTCACACATCCGTCTCAGTGCTGTCATAATTGAAGTGAGCCCTCACACATCCGTCTCAGTGCTCTCATAAATGAAGTGAGCCCATACACATCCGTCTCAGTACTGTCATGATTGAAGTGAGCCCTCACACATCTGTCTCAGTACTCTCATAATTGAAGTGAGCCCTCACACATCCGTCTCAGTACTGTCATGATTGAAGTGAGCCCTCACACATCTGTCTCAGTGTTCTCATAATTGAAGTGAGCCCTCACACATCCGTCTCAGTGCTCTCATAATTGAAGTGAGCCCTCACACATCATGAGCCCTCACACGTAGCTCATCATGTTTCAAAATACTGACTTGGCAATATGTTTTACAGGTGTGCCAGGACACTTCCGGGTGAGACCGGCTCTAATATGATCAGATAAGAATATGCTGTACACCACTATGTGCCGTAAACGCACTAACATATAATGGCACTACTTGGCTTTTTCACTGGGCTTCATATGACGTATAATTATGTCAGAATGTACAAATGAAGCAAATACATATATTGGATGACTGTTAATTAATATTAATTTACTAACTGTTTGTGTTTGACACGTTGATCGTAAACTCATAAATGACGACTATCTAAAAACAAAAAGGTGTGATTTTACAGGAAATTTTTTTGACGAGACAATTTCTAGATAATTCTGGTGTTTACTAGGCTTAACTGCAAATAGGGCGCAAGGAATTGTCACCACGACTGTTGCATGCCGGGAACCAAGTTGGGTACTTAGGTACTGGATGACAAACTATAGAGGAGCCGCCGTGACGCCCTCACAACCTGAAAAATAAAACATATACATTATTCGCAGATCAAATTTTCATCTCAATGTCGAATATGATCGGTGTATCACAATCTGGATTATTTGACAACAATTGCTCCCAGCATTGAATCTGAAAACTACAAAAAGTTGAGCATCGGGCCTGCGCATGCGTTGTCTTAACCTTCTAGTTCGATCTCTATCCAAACTTACTCTATATGGTCTCGTCTTGTCGCGAATGGGTACATACTCACCTGATGTATATTGACAGATGAAGCCTTTATTTACGTCACATGTGTCATCATCGAATGCCCACAATGTTAGTTTCCCATCGATTGCTGGATTGTGCCTGAAATGAAAAATTTATTAGTCTCGATTTTCAATAAGCACCTTGAACGTTGGTACGTGGTAATTTCGTGATAAAATTTTAATTTAAAGATAATGTTGGGATGCGTAATTCAACGGCAAACGCCACGCTTGATTTTGTCTTTTTGGCCTTCAAATTCAGAAAAAAATGACCAGTATAGAACGAAAGATTCAAAATATTGTTGATGGAATCCCATAAAATTGTCAAATGTAGTTTCTTTTGGCACACGGACCAATTCACTAAATGTTGGTAGAGATGTAGATCTGCTTGCCATGAAAACAACAATTAGTGGAATGATTCTTCATTCATACCTCAACAATTCAACAATTAGTGGCGACTAATTTCACTCAAATGTAATTTCTACAATATTGGTTTAAGAATATCTACAATTCCGACAAATTACATAAAACAACTATGATAATATTTGTCTAATTCTGAAACCGTTACGAATATTTAATGCAAAAAATTCGAATATTGTATCGGGTCAAATTATTTATTATTTAGACTTATCAACATATCTAATAAGTTTGAAATTACAGTAACCACAAATAAATCATGCTCTCAATTGTTGTTTCCATAGCAACCTGTTCCGTATCGCTACCAACATTTAATAAATTGGTGCGCCAGTGTCAACAGCAACTTCTTTAAAATTCATAATTTTCAAATCATTGCTTCATGGTAGTAATTTTGTTTTCTGAATTTAGATATCAAAATTGAGGGTGGCACTAGCTTTTTCCGAATTTAGCACTCACGACAATATCTTTAAGGCGGGAGGATCGTCACCTGCGAACGCGCGGGAATTGAGTCCCAAGCGACGATAACAACACACGCTAAAACGCAAAGACTCATGGGTAGACGCTTGTTTGTAAACAATGACACGCTATGGCCATTTGACGCATGCGCAGATGACGACTCCTTCAAGTGTGTCATTTCAAGAAATCCTTCCAGACTACATTGTAGATTTGTTCGAATACACACGACGATAAGTTTATTTAGATCCAGCGGTACAACGCATAATTCTTAGCTGCCAAGCAGACATTTCACCAAATCGTACATGTAATCTAAATTTGAGCAACCATTTTTTTTTTTCACTTTCCCCCCTTCTCCTTTCTATTATCATTTCATTTTATGTTGTTACTTATATTTTTGTATATCTTTTTGTCATGTAAGATTATTTTGAAGTAATGTACTTTTTTGGAAAATATATATATAACAAAAAATTATAAAAGACAAAAAAAAATTAAAAAAAATCTAAATTTGAGCAACAGTTCAAACTGTATGCAAAAAAAATGCACAATATTTGACACGATGAAACAAATGGCCTTTACACTATGATATATAGCGACATCCTAGTACAAGGGTCAATGTCAGAATAACTAATAAATACGCAAATACGCTTACCACATCTGAATACAGTCTTGTCCATTGCAATTTTGCTTCACATTGTTGTTGGGTTGCACGACTGTTTTTCTACCAATCCTTTCTTCGCTCCACCCCTCGTGATAGGTCAGCTCAGTGAGATCAGTCCACATAAACACGTCTTCGATCATTCTATCACTTAGACCAATCCAGTAACCATTTCCATACGGTTCCCCTAGACCCGGATTCGCGTTGATGTACTTTCTCAGTCTCTTATGCAAACCCCTATAATTTACGGTCGCAAGAAACCCGTCTTCACTTTCACAAAAATCTCTGGCTTGTTCCCATTCTAATGTGGAGTTTGGGTAGAACTTATAACGCATCCCTTCCTCGCATACCTCTGTAATAAATGTAATGAGAGAATAACACTACGACAAAGACGTTCTGTGTTCGACATTGTAATATTCTTCGTTGAAAGCACCTGATTTTGAAAATTCATAAATATACTAATTCATAACGAAGTGTGTTTTATAGGCACACTAATAATAATTGTCATAATTACTAATTTCACATGAATATTAAAAACAAAGCATATTCTCTATAATTTTATATTTCATTTTTGTTGAATTATGATTGAAAGGAGTTAAATGAAATCACAAACTATGTAGCGCGTGTCAATAACTCATGTATGAGAAATAACTTATAAATATTTTACTTGGTAAAACTATTTTTGGTATTTTTCTCCATAAAAACGAAAGGATTTTACAATGTCGAAAACGAAAAATATTTATTGTAGTGGTAATGATAAAAGGTGCATATCCAATTGATTAATTGTTGTTGTTTTTTAATTAATAGTTCAAATATTTTGTCTAAAACAAACGCTGGAAACGCGCGCATGATTTTTACTTATAAATAGCGCCTCTAGCGACGAGATTAAGAAACTGACAAAGCTGTCAATATCGTTCACATTAAGCTGTGTAATGTATCACTTATAAATAAAAACAACTGCGTCGACATTATTTGTACTGTAACTAATTTTTACAGTGTTTTTTATTATTATTATTATATCATTTACAGGCAAGTAGTTTTATATTGGCAGACTACTTCACCATGTCCGCCATAATGTCTATTCTATTTCGAATCTACCCGGCTAAAATAGTCCTTCAGAATAATGTATATCAAGCTATCATATCTCAGGCAGTTGCGTCGAAGCATATATAGAAGTGAAGTCTGGATTTATTGATTGGATAGAATGTTGAGAACGCATTGTATAATTTGTTTGTATACATTATACATTCAATAAAAGGATTTACATTGGTGCCAGTGTTTGGTAAATATTTAGTTTAGACCCGCAGACGACATTTTTATAACCTCCGCTTAGTACCAACAGCACTGACTATTCACCCCAAAATTGGGTAATTATATTACAAATTTAATTCTTTTCTGATAGTATCCTTCAACGACCCAAGCGTATAAACGTAGTATCGTGTATTTCTTATATATTAAGAATGGATGTAATGCATATTTACTAAAAAAAAAACTTACCATCAAACGTAATCTAGAATAAAACAGAAATGGATTATTAGTGTTATTAATATTAAAGCTATTCTACAGTGTCCATTTCGTGTGAAACCTTTATCGAAAACATTGGTAACAATTTGTCAAACTATTCTGAGTAAATGGTATAACAGATTTCTTTAAAGTTTGTCAGAACCGGGGACTTAAATATATACCTGAATGTAGCCAATCCGAATGAACCATGGCAAGAACGGCAGGGTTGTGAATTAAATTAAAGATTACATCTTGTCCTACAGACAACGTGGCCAACCTAGATTTTGAGCTTATACACATTTATGGATGTTGGTCCCTGGGATCATACATTCAAAAAATCTATATTGACGACATTTTTTTAATTTGCATAAATCCAAAATGAAAATTATAATATCAAAGAACGTCATAGCTTCACATCTAAAGAGCTGTGGTCGCCGCACTGCGCATGTTCGACATTTGTGTTGATAAAACATTGATTGATCCCATATTTCAATACGCCTTTCGAAATATATCACAAGTACGAGGTTTGACCTGGGCACCATTTGCACTAATTACCACCGGAGACTCATTCGATGCCTTCCAATCACCAAAAAATATCTAATTAAAGCTTGGAAATTTCTCAGTTTGTACTTGTTGGTCTGCTTAACAGTCAACGTCGCCATCTTTGTTTATATGTGTGGCGCGACGACCAGCGCCCTTTAACATTTTATTGATTTAGAATAAAACAATGCTATAATGATTTGCAGAATAGACCCCTACCTTCGTCCCTCCCTCCCTCCCTCCCTCCCTCCCTTCTGACCATCGGACAATGTTTTGTTAAAATAGAGTCTAAAGTGTCATGGAAAATTCCGAAATTTGATTTTTTATTTCTATTTTTTGTTGCTAGGATTTGAAGGTTTGTCCTCATATCTCGAAATTGTGCTTGGTGACAGTGGGTGAAAGATCTTAAATTCTAATTATTATGAATTCTAATAGTGCTACACGTTTATAAATAATTACATAGAGTTTAATGGATTCCTAGTGAGAGAATATTATTTAAACAATTATGTAATGACAATTCCTTCCCATAATGCAGTGCACATGTTCTCAACAGCAAGTAGTACAAAATGTGAATTCGGTTTGAAAACATAAAAATACTATTGGCTCATGTAAAAAACAATAGTCCATTGAAAGCACATTGTGTGTTTCCTTTCATTGAGATCCCTTTCCAACCTTTCATTAACATTATTGTAAGTATATGGTATTGGGTCACATGTGGTAGCGGTATAATATAGAATTACTTACCGGTATGAGCTCGCAACTCGATGACAAAATCATTGTCATTGATATCACAATAGTTATCATTAACTTCATAGTGAGTGTGTTCAAATGTTTGCAGCTTCTGGGTTAAAAAAAATAGTACTTTATTATTCTGCGTCGTGGGAGTTCTTTAATCTAGCGGGCTTTTGTGCTCTCATAGATGCTTTCGTTTGTTCTCGTCGGCAGAGGACGCAACTCAAACTATGTAACCGCAGTTGATAATCTGATCTTCACAGTTAAAGGACGGTGGTCGTCGCGCTGCGCATGTGCGTCATTTGTGTTGATACACATTGATTTTCCCACAATCCAATGTGCTCTTCTAATGGAAATCACAAGTATGAGGTTTGACCTTCGCGCAATTTGCACTAATGAGCGCTGATGACCCTTTCGATACCTTCCACTGGCAATCACCTAAAAATATCTAATTAAAGCTTGGTAACGTCTCACGTTGTACTTGTTGATATGCGTAACAGTCAAAGTTGTCATCTTTGTTTATATGGAACCCATATATCTCGCGCATGCGTGACGCGACGACTACAGCCATTTAAACTCATTAATTTTGTGAAGGTTTAATAATGTTTGATAACAATATGCATGAATAATTATTCACTCTCATTTTACGATATAAAACTAAATCGCTGGTTAGATGAAAAGATGAACGATGGTAAACAGGTCGCAAGTGAAAACAAATAGAATCAGCTTCGATGTATCAATAACACTATTATCGGTTCTTGCTAACCAGTACGCACGCAAAACGTGAACAAATGCAAGACTCATAAATACCTGTCAATACAGGTAGATGATTGAAATACCGTGTTTCACCCACCTGTGACTGTGGAAAGATTCAATTTCACGTGTATAACTATAACCTTATACTCATATATTTGATTGATGTGTCAAGGAGCAGCAATAGCCATATCATTGTAATATAATGTATTTGTAATGTGTAAATAACAGAATCTTGCGACCAAACTAATTTCTGACTTCTGACTTCTAAAATCAGAATGACGTTTGCGATGCTCTGTCTGAGAGTGCACAATCTGTAAAATCTTAACATGCTCTGACGTACAGCTAAAGTTGATTTAAGAAGTTACTATATTCATATGTAATAGTGTGGATGAAATCACCCGACACGTTCTGCGTGGACGTAATCTCTTAATATTTACAATATCAATTCCTGTCTCGTGTATACCACCACGATTAATCATTTTATAACGGTGATCAGCGAATTAACATTAGCACATAGAGATGATATGACTGGGGAGCGCTGTAATCGGTATCTCATGGCAGTTTTGTAAAATGACGTCATAAGCACATTATTATTATGATTATCAGCATCATAGTTATGCCTATTTGACGGAAACAGCAAATACTCTGTGTCGTTAGCGTGGCATCGTTACTACGCCCGGGGCAACAATCATGCATTATTCTGATATCCATAAATCACATTACGCAGTACAACAAACTATCATAGCATGTCAATCAAAACTACTACTGAGTTGACACTTTTCCTAACATTATAAAACATCCGACATTATTTCGACATAACTACAAAGTTATCGCCTTAATGGGATTTTTAACGTACACACGTAACATATGAAAACATTCACTTACCAATTGCGAATAAAGTTTGAAGGATAAATTCCCGTTTCTCGGTTTGGGTTGTTCGTTCAAAGGTTTGAACACGTTTGGTGCCACGTCACCAGGAAACGTTGACTCACGGTGGGTCGTAGACTATAATAGCATGTAAAGAGCCCTACGGTCGTATGTTGAACAAATATCCTCTCCGAATTAAGGGATACTTAACAAAAGCACGTCTTTGGCCCATATGGCGGATTGCTATGATCTTTGTTATTTTGAAATTATTTATTCAAATTAATAAGTATTTGTCGTCGCTTTCAAGGAGAAATTGATATATGTATGATCTTGTTATTGAAAGAACGCAATGAACGTGATACTACGAGTGTACAACGACATCATGCGACATGCGCCAGCAGGGAAGTGATTGATATGTTGCGGTGGCACAAAGTGGATAACAATATGTTTGTTTTGTTGAAGAGGGCGCATTCGACCACACTTCACGGTTGTCTTCACGTTTCACATTCGATCTAAAGCCGACGACGGAAGTTGTCATGGTTATATTTGGTGAACAATACTGAATTGTCACTCTACTGCCGCGCAGATGAAAGACTGGACAATTTTAAATTTAGCGTTTAACCATTATAATCTATAGAGAAAGATTATGCTCAGAAATAAAATTTAAAAACCAAATCCTATTGGAAAAATGACGGATCTGCTCGGAGAACATTTTGAAAACCGAATCCTGTTGCGAAAATGTGAGACAAACTCATATTTTTGAAAAAAAACACTTGTGTTAAGTTACCCACGGATGTGCTTTACGGATAGTTTATATTTGGAAACTCAGATAGCAGTTGAGAAACGTTCACCAATCAGACCAGCTACAATATTGACGTTGTTGGTGAAATAATATAATTTCTAAATGACCTTAACATTGCGTAGTCAGCAATCTGTTTCGCATAGTGGGCTGTACAAAATAATGTCCTAATAGTAATTCACAATTTCTCGATTTATGTATACATATTACCAACATTTTACAGTTAACAACATCTATGAGTAATCCGAAATGAATGAAGATTAAAGCATAGTTGTGTGTTACAACTCTACTTTCCTTGAAAACAAAATCTAGCACGACCAAATGAAAAACTTAACAAAAAATGTGTCTCTAATAATGAAATCAACAGGCATTTTTCTTATGCGAAAGACAACATAATGTGACACTGTCAGGTAGCCATAGAGACGTGATGCATAATGCGTGAAACATACAAATACTCGTCATTATCTTGTTTAGAACGGCAACATATATTTCTGTCCGTATCCGGCATTACACGACGGTCACAATGGGGATACGATGGGTATTGTAGACTTATACCCATTTCAAAATTAGTCAGTACCTTATTTCGGAGTTACATTGTTGTTTATAATAGCGTAGCGAACTCTGACAATGTGAAAAATAAACAACCTAAAATACTACATGCTTTGTTCGGGAGAAAATCCAAATGAACATTATAAATCGACGATCTGTTACAATTATAGACTTCAATTAATATATCTGGTTGACGCCCTCTGACGTAGAAATGAAATCTGGACAGCCTGGAATAAGAAATAAAATACATATAATTTGCTTTCACATCATCTTTCATGTCAGGTTTTACCATTTGAAAGACAAATGAAATCGTCACATTCATATTACCGTGTCGTTTGTCATATTTATGGGTACCACGCTACGTGTACAGTACGCATGCAATGAAAACATATTACTTGTTCATATTAGAATGCGCAATTCCTGAGAACGCTAATTAAACAACAACGTTTATTAAACAATAACCATAATCTGACCGGAAGTTCTTAAGTGATTCAACCAATGTACATACGGCTGTCGTTCAGTTGTTCTGTATATCCACTGACATGTTATTTTCTTGATACATGTAATTTACAACAAATATTATTACGTTTATGTCACGTGACGGGCACGTGACTGGTACACCTTACCTCTTGCATATTCACATATGTAGGACTTTAAATCTGAACAGTAGTCATCGTCCATATTCCACATGGGTCTGTTTTTCGGGTGGCGCCTGAGAGTTGTTAAAGCAAATGGACATATTATGCAACACGATATATTGGATTGTCTGTACAAATTATCAATCAATCAAACTAAAGTGGCTGACATTAGCATGTCACATGTCTGTGTACCATAATTTCCTGAATAATAAGTTGCAAAAAGTTTAATAATTAGAGAAAGTAAAAATCCATACTTTCATTTTAGACCAATATATACGCATACTTCTATTGTATACTAAATGTCTAAAAATACATACCCGACAGATATACGATAAAAACCTGCCCCATTTTTATTAGGGATTTTCCAACCAAAACGTTTCATTCTCCAGTGAGCTAACAGATAGTATATTTCACACACATCGTTCGCATCTGACTTGATGCGGCTCATAAACTGGCAACACCGTGAACGAGATGTTTGCGTGAATAACACTGTAACTATAGTTCACGGAACCTGGATTCCCTCTACCACCCTTGCAATCAGTACTTACCATAATTGAACGCAATCCTGTCCGTTGCAATCTTTCTCAACATTATTATTAGGTTGTTGAATTATTTTTCTCACAACATTTTGTATATGCCATCCATCAGTATATGTCAACACATTACCATCACTCAGAGTAAAAATACCTTCTGCTCGTCTGTCGTCAATACCGATCCAATATCCCAACCCTTCAGGGGCTGCGATGTTTGGCTGTGATTTGATTTGGTGTGTTGTCGGATTTTCTTATGCAATTCTGAAGAGTTGATGATGGCTAGCTGCCCTCCATTGAACTTGCAAGTATCCCTGGCTGTTTCCCATTCTACTCTGGTGCCGTGAAAGAATTTATACCGAATTCCACTGTTTGGATCGCATACATCTATTAAAATACGAAACACAGGAATAGTGTCAATTTTTTCAGTTTATCGTACCCAGTTTTTTCCTTTCAATACTTTTCCCGTCTATAAACACCAGTTTAACATCATCGTAACATTGACTTTGTTTTGTTTTTTTATTATTTTTATCTCGGAATTTATGCCGAACAAATTACATTAGGAAACAACGTAAGATGTGGGTGTACAATCCATTGCTTAAAACACCACGGTCTTCGCACTTCTCGTCTTCGACGTGAGTCCCACGAGACGTACTCGCAGCCTGTAATATATATTGTTTGTTCGCAAAAAATGATTGAACGATTTTCAACCTGAAATCAATGAATTGCCTTCCACAAATTATCCACAGTTTTATTTATGTGGACTTAGGGGGTCGATCATTTGAAATTATTGCTCTGGTTACACTCTTGCATGATTTGTAATCAATTAACGCTGTACCGTACTGTAATGTATCAATGAGATTATATTACGTTTCATTAGGAAACTAAATATAATAGAATTACGAGTATAATTCTTTAGTATGCGGAAAGCATAATCTCATGCGACCGGAAGTTTATATTTGCACGAACACACACTCGCCACCGAGCGTGCTGTTAGCATTGGACAAATTGCCATAACTTCCTCGTCTTTACAAATAGTTTCATACCCCATTTTTTCAACATATAGTCACAGAAACTTTTTTTATCTCGAGATTAAAAAATTGCAACGGATTTTACTTTCCCCATAAAGTCGCACGTATTAATTCAAAAAAACAATAACACCACGTTTATCTAAACGTATAGCGTCGTACCCAATGTGTGTGTTTTTTCACACATGACCTTTTATTACATGCCTTCATCTGCCCGCCAATCAAACACACACTTTAGAATAGGAACATCTGGGGATGTTTACGGTCTAGTGAGCCATGTACGGACCGTCACCAATAGCCACGAGGCGTCGCAATTCTCCGGTATTCTGAGTTAGCCACTCGGTACAGCGACGGACACCACGTTCGGTGGTTTTAACGGTACTTTGCTTCTAGTGTGCTTTTATAAAACCGTCCACTTTGTCTGGTACTTTTTCTGATTCATCAAGTTGGCCCTGTCCTATCGACCGCAACAATTGCATAATATCCATTTCGTCTGCTGCAGCCATTATCGTCTGCAGGTTGTCAAGGGATTCGGTTAACAAAATGCGTAACATATACATCCGCAGCGCAAAACTTTGTTACTGCTCATGAAAAATGTACCTTTTTACCAATAAGAATTACCTTTAAACATTAAGATATAAACCCTGCATTCTTTATGTTATTAAAGGCATGCAATAAAAATAGTATAGCCCGAATATGGGCGTTAGTGCCCTCGCGCAAGGAGATCAATTTCCCTCCTGCGCTCTGGCACAAACGCCCGTATTCGGGCAGTAATATATAGTATAGCAGTAAACAAAATCGTAAAACGTTCGTAAAAGTGTATTGAGCACCTTAAGAAACGTATAAGACTTACCATCTTCACCACTCATCTGTAATGAATGAATACAACACCAAATGTTAGTCGGGATGTTGAGAAGCTACTGTCACGGTTAAAGATAATTGTGTTCAACATTCTTATTTTATAGGGTCACCATCAGTCCCATACCCAACTCAAAACGTCAAAGTTGAATGATCACAGATTGGTATACCACATCCCGTGACATGGATGCAACTATTACAATAGCGTTTGAGATGTTACGTGACTCACCTGAACTAAATCCATACCGAGAACCGATGTCAATAACATCGCCAATGCTATCACCGGTATTAAAGTATCTATGGCGACGATGTTAGTGTATTTGACCTTTAAAATAAAACTATTGAAACATGCATTGGTACTTAGTGGACTTATTTCTTTGGCATGGCTGCTCTTATATGCAAGTATTCCATCATCATCAAATTTCTGGTTCAGTTAGCAAAAATGAAGAAGCATTAAGAAGTGCGAATCTTAGGAAAGCGTCTTGTGCAGAAAAGTAAAGATAACAAACCCGACCAAAATTGAAAAGAAATGGAAAAGTCGTATAGGGAAATTGACATGTAAAAAACTTTAAAAAACCAATAAGACTTACTCCTAACTCCAGTATTGCACTCTTACTAATTTATAATACTGTACCAAAATGCTGTTGTGTAACTGGGCTATGATGAAGTTTAATGGAGTTTTTACTGGTGCCAAAAAAACTGATTTTTCCGACTTGAATAAAAACTAGCGGTAATTTATTTTTTAACATTGTAAAACACTTAACTTATCATAACTCGCACAAAATCAAACCCACACAGGATGCAGTTGGTTTCATAATTCCCTAAACTGTTGGAATCAAACAACGGGAATGCTGTATTTATTCAAGATTCGCATCTATTTTGAGTGGAAAAGGCGAATTTCCGCGCACAACCTGCAAAAATAATATTTACACTACGCGGTTTGTACTTTCCTATTCTATACTCCAGCGATGTGTATAGAGGTATAAATTGTTTTACTAATGTATTTTACTTTGTGCTCAAAACTTAAGCCCAAATGGTAAAACGCAGAAAATAGTCCGTCTTGACGTACCCCGGCTTATGACGTCATATCGAGTGAAATAAAACTAACTAGAAAATGTACATCGTTTAGGAATAAAAACAATGCTTAATTGTGGGTTTTATCGTGTACATAGCAAAGAAATGACTCATCACATACGATTTTCTTATACTGCAAAATTCAAGAAGTTCAGACACACCTGTAACCGCTAAAAATCACCTGCCATTTTCAAGATTTTACCACTAGTTTCGTTCACGTCTTGAGTTAGATATCTACGTCAGCAATTCAGTTGTTGATTAATAATTTCCCTTTTTATAACTAAAATCACAAGGCTTCGCAACGCTTGACCATTCAACTGTGTGTAGGTGATGTACGCGTTCAGTGACGCTTTCTAGTGTCTGCAGAGAAGACTCGCGATCAATGGCGCCGACCGTTTCCGTGTTATACCCAGTCAGTCACGCTACCTGCCTCTCACGGTTTTGATCATTATTAACAAATGGCGGGAAAGAAACAAAAAAACAATGCATTATATGAGATTATTGGGATTCTCTTATTTGACACAGTACAATGAGTTATTTGACAATTTTCAAAATATCGTGACAACAATAACGCAAACGTACATTTATTATTGACATCATCAGTGTATTTCGTTATGATTGCGTGATATGCTATAATATCTTCAAATAACGCCAACGAATTTCTACATGCCAATTGCATAATGTGACTTCCATATATTCAATAATTCATATGTAGTGTCCAAATGCAACGTAATATAATCTCACCGATACACTACAGTACGGTAACAGCGATGTCAAATGCGTATACGAGAGCATGCCTACGCAAGTATGTGATGTAATATAACCACTCATATAACCCTACCGTTACGCCATATTTACATAAACAAATAATCTCGGGGCGTATTAATGTATTTTGTTATAACAGATTGACTCAGGTCGTTGTATGACGGGTGCCACTTGTTGAGCAGGATGTGACTATTTTTTTCAAAACATCTGACATCACCGTTTTATCTCACAATCGAGATCCATTTACCAAACTTTCACTGATTTCTGTTGTGTAATGCATTGTTTATTTCCTGTCAATGTTGTTTTTTGCTGTTATGTTTTTATGAAATTGTATTTTCCTCACACGGCTTTAGATTGTTTGATTCACGGTTGGACATGTTATTACCATTTTGATGACGATCACGAGGGCTTTAGTATTGTGACGGTTACTGCTAAAAAATGTTAATCGGTACTATGTAACAGGTGATGTTGCAATTGTTGTAATCGTGGAAAATTCAAGAAAAAATAGTGAAGCTAATTTCTGTTTTCCTTAGAGCGAGATAAACACGCAAGTTGTTTTATTCTCTGTCACCATTGCGTTTAGTGCTCCGAATACCATGGCAACATTGGTAATGGGTTATTTATATTATTACCATGTTAAATTGAAATTTTCGAATACAGTGAATTGTTTGTGGGGGATTGGTAAAAATGGTATGTGCATCATTAGGATGACAGTCGTTCTTATTTTTATCATTATGAACAACTATTAACAATGATCAACGTGGATACGTACAAACGTTCACCGGGCAGTATCACCTTCCGTCCCGGTGTGGAATATGTGTTGAAAACTGTTGTTGAACCTTTGGGCTTTGTTTGCAGCAGTCACGGGAACGTATAGAATAGACAGTAGCTTAAGTGTATATTTAGCGTGTATATTTTCTTTAAATGTATTCTTTATTCAATGAAGATGAAATAAAAAACGTAGTAAACGACCGAGCAGAAGTCGCTTAAAGAAAGTAAAAAGACCATGAACGCAACTGCAACCAACATAACTAACATAAATTAAAAAAACAGTATTAGATCTTCTGGTCTGTGCACATAGCTATAAATAAATTGACAAATCGACAAGCTAAGTATGTTATGTTTCACATAAGCTTACATTAATATACTTACATTTGATATCACCATAGACCCTAATATAACATTTTAAACGTGTTCTTTACGATGTTTTTTGCGTACTTAACCCACTGGATTATCTTGAAAAAAGAGTCACCACAGAAAATGTTATTACCCGATTTCCCGAGTATTTGGATTTCCTGTGATCCAAATTAACCCCTTTCCATTTTTAATAGTCTTTGAGAATTTACTGGTCTCAGTAAATAATCTGTTTATATGATAAATGTTCTTTAGAAGAGGTAAAATTATGTAAATGGTGGTGAAAACAGAGATTTTTACAGCTGTTTGCTGAATATGTTAAATGGAGCACTTTCTCATATAGGCCAGAATATATTGCGTGGATCTATAGTGTGTGTACTAATTCAATTATCCATAAACCTGTTGCAATTTTTAAAACGTATGGCTTTGTTAAGATGACTAAATTTATGTAACTGCTAGAATACTCGAAATAAACAGTATACATATTTGTGTGGGTATTGATTTACTTAATTAATATAAAATCGTTCAATTAAAATTCCGTGGTTGCACTTTCTTCTTTTCTAGGACCCACGATGGTCGTTTAGTTCAGTGTCACATTAGTTAAACAAATCCCCACAATCGGAAATTCCTGCTATTATTATTACTGACAAATAAAAAAATATTTTTACATTTAAATCATACTTATGTATATTTTGTCGTTTTTAAATATAAATTAGTTTGACTGATATATATATAAAAAATTTATAAAAAGATGTGTTATAATTACCGTATTATTTGAGCCAAGTAAGTAAAGTAATAATGGGGAACAAAATGAAGGGTCCAATGAAAGTGATCTGGACTTAAAGTTTTGTAATGTCCATATTTGAATTATATCACCACAAAACATAACTGTATTTTCGTAACAAGCCAAAATTAATATAAAACGCATCAGTTTTGTTAAATCAAATGTCGTTTTAACAAAATACTCATCAGCGGAGTACGTTCTGACAACGTCATCTAAATATCAAGGAGCAATGTATCTACGTAGGCCCTACATGAGATAAAGATCTCTATGTTTAACCGAAATATATTGTATTGATTACCCACCGACGTGATATTCACAGTAATAACGGTAATGATTTTGTTTTTCGTCTTTATTTTAAACGGTTCTAGAAATATATCACCGATAATCTACTAACTGAGATAACTGTGAAGCGGATGTAGATGAGCCAATCAGACAGAGAAGCAGCCAAGAACAATATACACGTGACACAAGTTATTTATCAGATCCAGCTGGGATGATGTAGGATTTAATAGTAAGAATGCAAGATATGATATTACACTAAGTAGCGCAGAAAATGTCTCTATATCATTGCAACTGTGTTGAGTGTCCACTGTAGGATGAGGTTAGCAGCTGGTCACGTGCAGCTGGTTACGTGCTAGTAGGGTGGTGTTTAACAGTGCAGTGATGAAACTAGAGACGTTGTCTATTCGTCTGAACATCCTGTAACGAGAACAAAACATAGGTGTCAGCACAACGTAAAGAACGACACGACACAGCGGCAAACTAAAATAACTACATGATACATTCACAAATTTACTGCGATGTAGCCACACACTGATATGGTGTACTTGTCGTGCAATGTACTAGATCAGGGAAGAAACGCTATTTATTGTAGTACGTAATGTTTAATCCGTGTACTCGTTGGGCTGTTTTTTACCGTTAAGCAACAAACCTGCTGTTATTTACAAAATATAATTATTACTCACCATTTTCGTACATACAGATGAAAGATTTCTTATCCAAACAGTATGCATCATCAAAATGCCATGTGGCGTTCTTATTTCGCTTTTTCGGGAATTGCCTAATAGACAGGAAATAAATTATTTAACCCTTTCATATAAAAATTGTGAACAAACAATCTTGACGTATTACATAATCGTGAAACATTTTATATGCACAGTTCTTTAAAAAGAATTTCCGAACAATAGGGTGTAATTTCCTTGACATTGACAATATTCAAATGCGACAATGGGTGCGTGAAACAATTGACTTGCCATTATCATTACACTCATCATTGTCATTAGTGAATAGATATTTTTACATATATCAATATTTTGAAAATGATCGACTATATCTGCCTGTAACACTAAAACGAAGTTTCTGATGTCATCGATTGAAACAAAATTATTTGTATGAACGCTAGTGTTTCTAATTCTAGAAAATCAACCCAACGCATTTCTCATCAGTTCGTGTTCACGATGTATTGTCAAATGCACAGAATGGCTTGTACTGTACTTGTTTAATGTATCTGTTATTATAGGAACACCCACGTGAACTCACCATAATTGACCACAGTCCTGTCCGTGGCAGTCTTTCTGAACATTGTTATTTGGCTGTGTGACGGTTTTTTTTCCAACCTTCCTAGAACTCCACCCGTCATAAGATAAAGGAGTATCATCGATAAACACAAATGAGCCTTCCACCAGTCTGTCATTAAGTCCGAACCAGTAACCACCACCCATAGGATTCTTTATATCATTTTCTGAGTTGATATATCTTCGGAATCGCTTATGTAAGTCCGAATCGTCGATTTTAGCCAATACCCCAGAGTCGAGTGCGCATGCGTCCTTGGCTGCTAACCAGGTATATTTCAAGTCGTAGAAGAACTTGTACCGCATGCCATTTGAAGGATCACATACTTCTATGAGATTAAAATAAGTCACGTTAATTTGGCACCAGTCATTATATTTCACGTCTCTAACGTTTTGAACGCTTTGACTATGCGCGAGTATCCTGTGAACAATGACTATCTCTAAGGAATACTATTATTTCTGTTATGTTTCCTCTATATCGATTATGTGGGTCATTAACAACGATTGAGAAATTTTTGGATTATCAAACTATTAATTGTCTGCAAACGTGGTCGCCGGTGAATGACGACATGAAAGTGTTAAATGATTGGATAAACTTGACTTACCCGCTGGACCACCAACCTAGCAACAATTGAAAAATAGTAAAGAAAATAATTAACAAATATTATCTTTACAATGAAAACAACATTTTTTAACACTATAATAACTATATTTAATAATTAAAACACGATATCAAGATCAACCATATACGCGAATAGACACAATATACGCGAATAGACACATGAATGGTGCAATATTGAATGCATAATGTTTGTAGTTGTACCGTGTATACTATGGATGACACTCAAATCCAGCAAATGTATACACTGTTATTTAGTAAAATAAATATTCTGTTATGGCTCAGTGATTTATTGTTATACTTCATTGAGTGATTATTTCGATATTGCTGAGTGGTATATTAATAATAATACCATGGCAACGACACCACACCCACCTGGTAGAAATCCACTGTGGCATAGACCGACGTGCACAGCATGGCTAAGGATATTACGACAGACTTCATGGTTACTATATCGACGTGTTCAGTAAGTCTGAATATAATAAATAATAAGTACATACGTGAATTCGATTATAATCAACCATAAGCATTCACTCAACGTTATCGCGATATTCTGCGCTATGTTATAATTGGACAAATGTGATAATATTCAGGTAATTGTACAAGTGCTAATATGTTCGATATTTCATTTTATGCCATGATTTACGAATTATAAACAATCATGATGCATGTAAAGTTCCGTCAGCCAAATATAATCGACTTCCGCATATGAGTACGCTATGTATGTATGTATGAAACATATGTTTTAAATAGTTACTTTGAGCACAAAGAGTAATTGTTGAAATCAGTGAAATGTATCTATGGCAACAATAATCGTGCCCTTTCGCGTGATGCAACTGTGATTTCAACAATGCAGCATCAGAAACACCATTTTTGTTAATATTACTAATCTAATTCGTAATTATTCTCTGATTGTTTTACGTTTTTAACAAATTACGTTTGAAAGATGTTGTTGGCAATGATAAAGGCGCATACACAATGTACATCGAATAGGTTGCCAAGACTTTAAATCAACACACACAAGTACATTTTTTGCAACCGTTGATAGCGTTTGTCCAAAAGAATCACAGCGTTTTGACTAATATGCACCACAGAAGTATAAATCATACTACTCACCGTTAGAGATTGCGGGAGGAGTGCTTATCTCCTGAAGTATTGTGAAACTACCTTTAGCAGTAAATCTTATTTAAAGGGATATTCCGTGCCACGTCGACGGGGCCACGTCGCTACTTGTGACGAGCTACGACTCATTGAATTGCAGATTAGATATTGAAATGTAAAACTGAATTTATCTATTGTTCCATAAAGAAAAGGAGAATTTACCTTTTTTCTCATATGTTGAAGGTTGGCTAAACGATGTTTATCCTTATGGTAATAAACTTGATGTTTGTATTCTGTTTGGTGTTGATCTCCCTACCGGGGCCTCGAGATAAGCAAACAATGATTGGTTTAAGTGGGGTATTAAGAATTCGGCTTAATTAACATTGTTGGAAGCCTTTTCAATTTCCAAAATAGATTTGTGAATAGAATCGTGATTACGTAATTCGAAAATATGGAAGTTGTATTCAACTTAGCAGATCCAAATTAAAATATGATTATCACCACCCTCAGTGAAACGAATGGAATGTTCCAGGAATCGATCAGATCTAATCGCAATTTCGTTGGAATCCATAGTGCGTATTTACAATAACCCGAATGTCGCAGATTGTGAACAGGTGAATTATTTTATGCGTAATATATTTTTCGAAAGTGCATGTATATATAATTGCCAATCTCGGGGATCTTTCATCTCTATTTCTATAATTATTGAAAGTCTTTATTTGTTTGAATCAATCCACTCAGAAGTGAATGAGAGAGACATGCAATACATAGAATAGGCAAGAAAACAAATGAACACCTAAATATTGTCAATTGTTTTAGCAGGAAGATACGCAACAACATATAGAAGGCAGAGTAAAATAAATGCCACAACAATTGATAAACTAGGCTTCAGGTGAAAACGTCAAATGTACAACAACGAGAGCCTTACTACATCTACATGGTACCTACTTTTACTGCCAACAGAATGCAACTAACTATAGATTATGTAAACACGTAGAGGTACGAATCTCTTTCGAAAATCAAATGAAACTGCTCATATAAATATAGTTCGATATTACAAAAATCGCTCGATATAATGACGTGGTTATTTATTTTAGAACATTTTTAAAAATGATGATTAATAGTGCACACAGATTGGAATGCCCACTGTTATATAACTGTACAATATACACATTATTTCGTTCCAATGAATCATTTGGCAACCAAAACAGCCTTTTTTTCTATTTTGTACTTTTTCAAATCATACAGAGATTTAGAAGAGTAATAATAAATATATTAAAAGGTAAAACATAGTATACCAAACTATTCACCAGAACCTAGGCACGCTAGTCGAAGAGGATGGTGGGTATATATGTACGTACAAATCATGCATTAGATCATTCTAAAGTCGCTAAAACGGAATACATTATATTCTCATAGTAGTTATTTTCAGACCACATAAATTCAGAATCTACTTAAAAAATTAAAAGTGAATACGATGTATGCTTGTTAGTTGGTGGTGATATTATTATAGATATTGATAATGTTCTAATCATGAAAACAGAACATTGTATTACCACACTCTCCAATTAGACTAACAGAACATCATCTAGACTAACAGAACATCGCCAACTACAGAACATATACGACACATACAAATGGAAATACACTAAAAATGTAATTTGCATGGGAAAACGCACACTATCTTCAAAAACCCTTTGATAAAAACGTTTTAATATTTTCTATGTAAGCGTGGGCGATTTGCGAGTAAATAATTAATTATACGGGTAAATAAATTGTGTTTGTTTTTTACACATAAAGGCAAAGTTTGTATAAAATCTATAAAACATTTTGAAGTTAAACTCTCTAAGATGGCACTTTGTTTTGGGGTTCTTAGTTATATATATTTATTATGACATGGGTATGTGAAATTCAAAGCCAAAGTAATTTACAAGAAGTGCCAACCAATTATAATTCCTGCATAGATGTACTCATACCATTAAATACCTCGCATAAGAACACAATTTCCATAAACATTATTAGTACAATTTTTTGAAAATCACTTATAATGCAAATTTAAATTGGTATGTTATTTTTATTCATTTCAAGCAATTAAACAAAGAAAATACCGGTCAAATTTAAACTTTCTTTGCAATTCCTAAAATCCTAAATCGCCCTATCACACAGTCACAATCACAGTGTGTACATTTATATACATTCTGTCTAAGATTTAACTTGTTATTACCAGAAATGACCCATGACCCATTAGGCTATCCGTAATATGCATTAGTAATTGCCAATGTGCTGTCAGTTTACAAAAGCAAGTAATTTAAATAAACTCAGGAAACAAGTCAATATTGCCTAGCATTGGTAGATTTGTTGGAACAATGTTTCGATAAATTCAATATATTATACGGTCACCAACACGGCTTTACCACACATTATAGTTGCAAAATCTAACTCCACTGTCATTACGTTTTTAATGCATTATATGAATAATGACAATAAGAACAATGTTGAGGTATTTATTTATTTTTCGAAAGTATTCGATACAGGCAGTATGTATACAAACAATTGGAACTCTCTATCACGTGCAGAGTGATCCACGATTTAATCCTGAATAAATTTTGCTTTATTATTCACATTAATGATATTCTTGAATCCCTACTCTTATTTAATTGTTTTCTGATGATTAAAATATATTCATATTTTGAGAAGAAATCATTCAGTGGTGCGATATAAACAAACTCACCGGTAGAAATAGTATTTTTATGTTCAAGGCAGAACAATTTGCAGCAGTGGGTACATTTAAGATGTCTGTAGCGTCAAATGTATTGGAGTTTCATTGAATGAGAACTTAATTTGGGAAAACCGAGCGTAAAACGTAAAAACATTTTACAATTAGGCTACCACACTTGTCATTATTGTTAGATGTCTCTGTCAATGCTTATCTTTGTCATGTCAAACAGAATCTTCTAATACAAGAACGTCTTATGCGTGTTATTGGATTCATTAAAATTACTGTACATATGTTTTATACATATTGCCCGTAACCCAATTTTTAATATTTATATTTTTGTGTAACGCAAGGTCCGCAAAGCATGCATAAATTCATCTTGTGTATCACTTCAGTTTTCCTGTCATTCAAAATCAACCTGATTGACACCATCCATTCCCGTATTACATCAATGCACGTCTCAATCACAGGTCTAGACATTTCAGCGTTTTTACACGTGGCATATAATTGTGTATCATCGGCATACATCATGAAATTCAACAAATGTTTCCTCATGATATCTTCCAAAGGAGAACAATAGAGAGTAAAAGGAATTTGGCCTAATACATTGCTCTGTGGCACACCATACAACAGTTCACATGGTTCCGATGATACACCATCATTACTAACACAATATGTTCTTCCTTTTAAATACTATGAAAACCAATTTAAAGCAACACCCTTAACCCCGTAGCTAGTCTGTGATCGTTCTAGTAGTATGGTGCGATCACTCGTATAAAAAGGCAGAACTCAGTTCTAATAAAACTAAAATTAAATCACAATGAGTGTCTAAAGATACTATCACATCATTTTGAGCTTTCAATAAGGCTGTTTCTGTACTGTGAATATGACGATATGCGAATTGATATTTTGAGTAAAGTGAATAATTTGACAAATGATTCTACAACAATGTTCTACAACATTGATTTGTTCTACTTCTGTTTTGATATTTTGTTATTTTTAACTTCCTGTGGTTCGTCCTGATACAGATGTTTATTCAAGATAAATACGTTGTCCAATGTGCGATGGTTTAATTTTAAGCAAAATTCGGTAATTTGGGAGTGTACAGGAAATTTGTTAATCTTTTATTTAGTATTTTTACTTATAAATAGTTTTCCAAGACAAATTGAGATGGTGATTCCCGTATAATTGAATGGGTTAAATTTGGAATATAATTTATGTATTGGAACTGCTATACTAGTAGTCCAAGATTGTGTGAAGCATTGCGACGAATAAAGAGTATTAAATAAATTAATAATGGCATCTTTCAGGTAAAACTTACTTTATCTTCTGTGGATGCTTTATTATTTTTCATGTTTGTTGCTTTTTGTATTTCCCGTTTTGTTATTGGACTGTCCAACTCCTCAATACTGCAATTATTTTTTCATTCAGATCCAAATTTGTATCACCCTTGTTATTGTCACTCGAGTTTAATAATTTATTGAAAACCCAGCGTATTCCCCAAAAATGTCGACTTTAAGATTGTCAAGGTTTCTTATTTGGCTGGCTTTCACTTCTTTCATTTTTTCTGTTTAATTGTTTTCTTGTATTGTTTCTACAATTTGAATAAAATACAATAAATATACGGATTGTTTAGGTATTTTTGCAAAGGGTTTGGCATGTATTTAGATTCTTTACAAAGGATCCATTTCATTTTTATTTATTGTTTTTGCGCTATTTTTAACGTAAATAAAAATTTGTTTTGGAGTCCTAATCCCATATGTTTTGGTGTAAAGAGCACAATTGATTCTCTAGACTACGAGGCCTTGTTGTATTCTTTACCTACTATTACTTCTCACTACCAAAGTGTGAATGGAAGCCAGGAATGAAATATTCGACACTCTGTACGCAGTGTATGGGAGTCGGAACATTATCCATGGAGAATTGAGATGGCCACAAATGTTGACTTTATTCGAGCAATCAACTATGGTAATAACATGCACCGACCTTGGGTGCGACTACATCAAACATTTTATGATGACCCTTCACTCAGCCTTATTCCGTGTAGGTTGTTTATAGACACTGCGAACGGATGTTTTCAAGTGATTATCGCTTAAATTATTATCCTAAGTTAGAATTAAATACGGAAATGAATAACACACAGACTGGATTGTTTTCAACAAGGCATGATTTAATTGGACAATACTGAAGGTTGAAATTTACAGTGATTGAAATAATCGTATCGATATGGTGGGTTCTAATTTGAAATTATATAGTGCGTTTCCGTTGCTAGGCAGTTCATCATTCGACGGCTTGTCAATTCTTGGGTGGGTTTCACGCTTTAACACGCCGTCCCTGTAAATACAAAAAAAACGTAAAAGTCAGTAAATATGCTTTGGTCTCCACTGTACGCGTTATATTTTTAAATAAAACCATTTGAATATATGATTTATTGCTACTATACATTAGCCTGTATTCTGCTTATACCGACACAGTGAGATATGAATAATAAGTATTAGTGAAATATCCATACGTCGTGGGTCATATGGTCGTACATCAATCACAAAAGCATGTGATGTCAGGCACAGAACGTTAATTCCATTTTTTTAGGAAATTTAGATATCCTTATTAGTGGACCTTTTTTACAAATAGCCATCAAAATAGAGATTCGCGAGACCTGCTTTTGGTCGTAAGATAGTTTCACTCCCGTAATGATGTTTATCGTACCTCTGATATAAGTAACCAGGTTATTTGAAACAAAGGGCACGATGACGGGTGATAATGGAACATTCTTCGCGGGAGAAAACAATTCTCGCAGTACGCTCGCTCCCAGCGAGATCTCGGGAGCTATTTGCACGTGAGGTATATTTAGAAACTCATATACATTCCCCTCTAAATAATTTCAATAAAATTGACGTGAGTGACGCACATATATGTTTTATTGTCTTTGTCAATCTACTGGTTTTTAGACTGAAGTGTTTCTTCGATTTATTGATTTGCACTTTATACTATCCGTTTAAAAGTCAGTCAATGCCATTTTCATTACTATTGACTTCAGGCAGACACGGAAAAGAAATTTTGAATTGGAACAAATTGAATTGAAATATGTATATAAACATTCCGGTTGTTTCATGTATAACAAATTTAGCTTTGGGAAGATATAAACACCTTATTCGTTATTCGTGCATGAGGCCACGTTTAATATGATGGTCTCTGTGTTTATATCTCGATGGTTATACGCAAGTGATGTTTAGTCGTTCTTGAATATTAGTGTTCTAATAATAAACAATCATAAATAGTTGTGTGGGTTCTGTTATGACAAACAATAGACCAGTATAGCACTATTGCCCCCGCCCCCAGTCGGAAAGTACATGGCAGTTTTTTGGTTCCAGTCCGTCCATGATCATGCTAAGTGAAGTTGTTCTACGATTATCCAAACACATATTGCATCTCCTAAACGAAAATGAACATCTAGACATTGTCTTTTATACAGCAATATTACACAGTCACTTCTATGCTTGTATTTTAAAGAGGAAATACCTTGTCAACAATATATTGATTAATTAGTGAACGAAGACGGCCGTAAACCGGACGGTCGTTCTGAAAAAGATGATTAGTCCGCTCTGAGCATGATCACAGAATCCTCAATATTCGGGATTTAAATTCAAATTGATATATCCACGTATTTTAAATACCACCAGGCCGACCAGGATATAAATCATCAATATTGAGAATTTAAATTTTCAAAAAATTCAAATCGTTGTTCCGGTTTGTGTTAAATGAGAATATATCCAACAAATATTCCATGTATTTCTATGTAATATATCTACGATCATTTCCCGCATCTTACTGGAGTTTAGTAGGACTCATTATGGCGTTACACACCATTTTGAGTCAAGGTGACACGAAACTAACATACGGATTTGAACCATGAGAGTGACACTATGGTCAGTCCGTTGCTAGAAAATTGGCTTATTTTGAAAAAAAAAACATTTATGAAGTTATCTCGTTTAGTGTCGTCCATTGACCGGAAGTGCTCGCTAAGCCATACATACCAGGATATTCACAAAGGTATGATTTCAGTTCAAAGCAATATTCATCGTCTAAATTCCAAGATGGCAGTTTTCCAGGTACATTCTTGGGTCTTTGCCTGTCAAATAAAAAATACCAATGTGAATGTAAGTCGAGGTGTTTTTTATTTTGTTTTGTTGAACAAAGAGCTTTCAACTGGTGGAAGATTTACTTGTATTTACTTCATTTGTTTATTTCTATTTAGTTATGTTTTGTTTGATTTTTCACTTTGAGACTGTGCAGGGTGCAAAAGGTTTTGAACACTTGAAAGCCAATTAGTTGATGTATGTTGACCGGAAACGGAAGTAGCGCCATTTTATGTTTAGTAATTGAGATGCGTTCCTATTACGGAAACAATTTTTAACTAGCTCACCATAACTGCAAACAATCCTGGCCGTGACAGTCTCTTGCTACATTGTTGTTGGGCTGTGTAATGTTCACACCTCCGACCTCCTCGGAATGCCAACCCTCGGTATAAGTCAATGGCGCGCCATCGAGTAGGACGTGGTAACCTTCGGCCATTCTGTCATTTCCGTTAATCCAGTAACCATCCCCTAGCGGGTTTACAATATTCGGCTGTGAGTTGATGTATCTCCTGATCCTTTTGTGCAGTCCCAAATAGTTGACGGTGGCTAGCTGCCCTCCATCGGCGAAACAGTCATCAACCGCCACAGTCCATGTGCTCTTGCTTTCATAGAAGAACTTATAGCGTATACCGCTCACGGGGTCACATACATCTGTGGATGAACGAACAACATTCATAATTTTTTTATTTGGAGATTTCTTTATTTTGCTTGCTTTATTAGCATTTCTCTGTTAATAATATTACATCCATGTCATATATTCATACTGGCTGATCGTAACATGTAAGCGCACAAACACATCTATCTGGTCAATGATATCCATGGACATGACAGATCATCATCGTTTCTAATATTACAATAATAGTAGTTCAAAACATGTTAACATACCGTTTTCCCCAGATAGCTGAAATTAAATATATAAGAAAAGTATTTAATATCTGACGTCATATTCGTGTCATATCATAAACATCGCACGCTGTGTACATTTCTAATTGTTCTTGTTGCCGATAGCCAATGATGTTGTCATTAATAATGCCTGATTGAAACATATGTTCGTTATACTGCTCCCATTATAGTATACTAAAACATTCACCTTCCAACCACACTCGTTAAAATTGTCTTACATTGAGGATAGACCGATAATGTCTCATATTGGTAACTATGACGTAAGTATAATGCAAATCTTTCTTGTAATATAATTAACCTTTACAACGACACATCTATTCCAACATAATTTTGATATGACGTAGAAATGCAATTGTGTATGTATTTAATAAAAAAATCTCTGTTACTTTTGGATCAAATAGACTTAATTCTATGTTGCCTACATAACATATTTAATTAGACTGCGCTTTTTACACTTGAACACTGGTCTAATAATAAATCAAATGTTACATAATAAATAAAAGAAGGGGTGAAAAAAATATGTACAAACTAAATGGTTTGAATATTCATTTATATATTTAAATCAGCCATAAAGAATGTTGTTAACATAATTTGGCAGAGAATTCAATAAACATCGAATGTCATGTCCCCACAGGTAGATAATCTCCAGAAACAACCAAGTGACAATCTGGAGATCATGACCTAAAGCCCGAACATGATTGAACTCATTAATGTAGCATATATGATATATATTCGGGTACTTGGTTATTTATAATCTTACAAACAACAGAATCTTAAACTCCGCCGTATACATAACAAGTAATCAATGAAGTCTTTTAAAACATGGCGCAATATGCCCATACTTTCATCAGCGAGGGACCAGTCTAGACGCAGAATTCTTTGCCGTTTTGACATTTGCGAATTTGTTTTACCCTAAAACGATCTATTACTGTAATGTAACCGGACTGCAAAGTTGACTTTGGGATTAAACTGCACGTAAACTATGAAAAATGATGAGTTGTTGTGGGTGAGCCAAAAGTTAACCGAGAAATAAACAATCCAAGATGTGTTCATAGAATTGAATGATGTCAACATAGTACGTGTAACAATTCCAGCAGAATAGCAACCTTACCTGTATTAAATCAACACCGTAAGTCGATGACACAAATAACACCACTATTATCACACACTGGAGTTTCATTATGGTGAAGTAGCGATATAATATATGCTGAAAAATAAAAAATAAATAAAATATCCTTTTCATAGTTATAATTCTCATAGCGAAACAAAATTACTAGAGCGTCAACAACTATACGTACTAGATAAGCGACAATAACTTAATACAATAAATATGCGCTTGGCCGTGAAACATGGCATCTAAATTGGACATATATATATATTGCCTGCAAACAATTACAGCCAAACAACCCTAATATTTTGGAATGTATTTTAATATATGACACTGGAAATAATGTCATTACCGAATTATAGGATTCATCATGGTATATGTGTAAATAAGTAACAACACGATGTTATAATTTAACAAGCTTAATAGTATATGCTATATATGTTATATATTTATTTTTTTAATTTGATTATTTGACACAGTCTCGTCAATGAAATGAGAAAGATTAGTGTAAGTTTCTGATAAGATTTCATGCTTAGCGCAATATAGGTAGTAGTAATATAATTATAAAAGTATCGTGTATAAACTCAATTAAAACCGTATTTTATGTCTAGCATTTTAACGCCAATGTTTACTAGTATACCTTACTTATATTTATTACGATATCTTCATTTTACAATCGTGTGTGCTCAACCTAAATATTGTCACATTGAGCCAGTGTGGTATTTGTTGATACAACTTACACACAGGACATTTTATTTACCACGATACATATGTTGTATAATAAACACGACAACATATGTAAATTATATGTGTAAATATCGAAGTAGTTTTAAATATTATGGGCCATTTGACACTTCCTTAAAATAAAGTTCAGTCATTTGTCCTACGTTGAAAACTTGTTTGAAACTAGAAAACAATACATGACGACATGAGCGAGAGAAAGATATATAGACCACTGGACATGAAGCCAATAAATGAAGATTGGGGTATTGACAATAACCACATCTGTACATGTGATCGTGGCATACATGAGTCCGGTTCTGATTAAATAAAATATAAAGTTGAAAACATTTGTTTTGATGTATTTGTGACAGAAATACTATACACGCATTTTTACATGAGTAAAGGTATTTGTCACATGTTCGGCTTAAACACATTGAGACCATATATTGAACCATGCTCTGAGTTCCTGAGGTTATTAATACCGAGGAAGTTACAATTTTTCTCTGTATTTTGAACAAAGTTTTGAAGCTTGTTTTGAAAAAGAAACATTGACTCATGACAAAACTTAATATGTATTCAGAGACTATTTATGTATATGCACAACAATAAGCTTTATTCTATCCATGTGTCATGCAATACACACTGAATGCAAATACGTTGACATTTCTTACATACAGGCAAGATTTTAACCATGGTAGAGAATAGTTTGTTCGACAAAATAAAACATTGCATTTAGAAAACTTTTAAAAATTAGTTTACACAAATGGTAATTATACGTGGTTAAACTCAACATTGTATAATGAATGAATAAATGAAAAGGAAACTTGATTGACTGCATAGCTTTGTAATTTCACGGGACACAAGTCACGGAAAACGTAATGCTATATATGAGAAAGTACCACATGATGATTTACTAATGATTTATAACCGGACTTATGTAGTCTAATATTCACTTGCAGCGTTGCTGGCAAATACACCGATTATCTTTCATACATTGGATGAGCTATATTGGAAATACATATAACAGTTCCATAGAATAGCTCAAGGAGACACTAGAAGTAAACCATTCCCTCCATTGTACAAATTAACAACATATTTCATTATAGTATTCATTTTTCCTCAAATAACTCAATTATTAGACAGACTAGCTGAAAATAAAGACGAAGACGTGGAACTTTCAATTTCTTCTTCAGATAAACGTTGTGCTGCTATTATATAGCTTGTGGACATATGGTCATGGAAGTCAGACCAGATACCGCGTTCAGTTGCACCAGATTGATACATGCACTCGTGACGTAACGCGACGCATGTGGGAACAGCGGGAAACATGGCGTCAAGTTCATGTAGAAGACCTGTACGGCAATACTATTGTCAAAACTGGCAGATGAACAACTGATCCTGTCCGTAGATTCAAGCCAAGCATGGAATATGTGAACGCACCCTGGTGTCATGTAGCCACAGCCCATGAAGAAAGAACCAACCAGGAAACAGACTGTGACGCGCAACAAAATATTTATTGGCGTCATCGGCGTATATGACACGTATCTCTGCAATTTGAGTACAAACAATGTCCAGCTTCGAAATACCGATTCGAAACCGATAATATGTGTAAGTTGTTGAATAATAGCAGCCATCGAGAGCGTTATATTGGAAACTCAGTTCCTGTGTACTCAGTCTGCAGTGATACACTAAAATCAACCAACAGACATATGGTCATGTGACCGAAGAAAAGTGTTTCCATACGCGTATGCAGTTAGCCTTGGTCTTGTTCTTTTACAGTCAAAACTAAGTTAAAATGTTTAAATTTTCAAACTATTGAACTCAATCTAGTCGCATATTATATGTGTATTTTCTTGAGACGTTGGAATATAAATAAATTTGAAATAAACATACTCACAATTATGAACGACCGTTTCGATAAGTTTACTGATTCCTGACCGTTAACAAATACCACGTCAATTCAGTGCGACGTGTTTGATACCAGCAGACGGTCGCTGGTCTTTGATAAGATTATAAGCTTGGGTATGGCTTGTGTATTGTTAATATTGTAAAGAACGGATTAGTTGTTCTTTTTACAAAATTAATATGTAGAACACTTCCATATGGTGGAACATGTTCAATTGGGACAACGATTGTTTTAACACGTTACATGGGATGTATTTTTAAATAGTTTACGTAGGTTTTAGAACGGTCTCACAGCACGAGAGTTCAGCCACGAATTTCAAAGGGCGGTTGTCGCTTCGAGGCGTCGTGTTTGACAAGGTGCAATGCGATATTTACAAAGAATGTAAAACACATTGTCCAAACGGTATTAGTAGCTTTCCGATACATACATTTGTTTTACTCATGCCTGTAAGAAGAGAAGGTTATCAAACTACGCATCTGTAAACGTCTAGCTATTTTAATATTCATTAGTTACTTAAGACTACGATTACCAAATATTATCTTCTGTAAACCCTTGTGTCGACGTGACAAGGATACTGTCACTGGAGCAGCACGCGGGGTCGACAGGCTTACGTCATTTCTGACCAGATGCCATTTTACCACCTTCGATTGTCGGGAGCTTGTGGACAAACTTTTCTTTTCTTTACTACTTAGTGGGTAGCCGATCACAGTTGTCGAACTCGCATTCTTCCAGATGATATATATACATCAACAATTACCTCGGAATTAGCAATTCAAGAAAAACATTAATCTTAACAAATTTCATTTGAGTTTTATTCATGTGCAATCCATACTAGCAGTATTTAACGCTCTGGTTCTGTGAATACACTTGCATCATTTAGTAGTAATACTACATAACTCGCTGGCGTCGTGTAATCTCGGCGCTTGTCGGTAGTCATTCGGCATTTATCGGTTACCTACAATCCATTGCGGCCCATTGATGTTGAGATATAATAAAATATAATATCACGAGTATATCAACTTTCCGTATAGTATGTCGCCCACACGTTAAGCCAACTTTAGGAAACAATAATCCACGTTACATACTACATGCATATCAGTATGATGTTATACAATCATTATAGAATTCCGCCATATTGGAAACGAACAATACACTCTCGTTCATTATTAGTATTATTATGATTCATTGCTCATTGCGATTTTCAAAGTATATTAATTACTCAAAGACTAGAACAATGGTAAGTATGTTAAATAAAATAACCGGGGAATCAAATAATATGCATACACATACAGAAACAATAATATACAAAATGTGTTAATCTGACATACCCCTTATATATGCGCGAGTACAAAGTATTTATAAATAAGGGTATGAAATTTTCATAATCTTGCGTGCGCGTCAATCGACCATATTTCTAACCATCACAGAGCGCAATGGCTGCTTGAAGGGTTTCGATTGCGTAAACAAAAATGAGCGAGGTTATCACTATTTTCAAAAAAGCAAAATGTACTTTCCCGTGTTTCCTAAATATGCCAGGACACTATCAAACCAGTCCGAGAAGGACACGCAGCAGCTTTTTTACACATACTGGCTGTAGTATTTCTAGAAATGTGTGCTTCTCGTACGATCTCTCAATTCATGTAACTTTTCTTCAATTCCCGTGAGATCTCCATCGCATATAACACCAGTAGCATACCCGTACCTTATAAATCAATGGCACTATACATACATACATATAAATCATAAAAAAATCCCTGTCGCTAATCTCAAATATGAATTTGGTATTACTCTGCCTTACCTATAACAGTACGATGATATGGACTCGAAAAATGTCAGTGGTTCAATTGACTTGTATGGATGTTCCTTGCAGACAAACAGTGTGTTAGCATACCCACTGCAAATGTATTAATCAGAGAATCTGTTTAAAAATGAACGCCATATTGCGGATTCAATCAACGGTACACGAGCAGAACTATGGGTTTGTATGTTAATTGATAACTACCACTTTGTAAAATATATATATTATTGATGAACTACTCAGAATAATAATATCGTCGTTGCCATATTTTCACTGTCACCTGGACGCATATCTAATTAGCACATATATTTGGACTTGTATCTGTTATATAGCACGTTCTTTTGTCTGAACATATGTTTTGATGATATTGATCAATTGAACTGTGCGAATTGTAAATTGGTAATGTGGAATTAACAGCATACGGTATCCATATCCATAGTCATTAAAGAGATTTACAAGTGTAAGACCACAAAACAAAAGACTGACAATCATTTACAAGCATACTACAGTTCCGTGTAATATTACTAATTCTCAGATTGAACATATTAATCCAATCAAATTAGCCAAAATACAAAGTTTTACAGAAAGTTGCATACAATAAGTATCTTATGGCCAGACCCCAAAATCACATGCCCTTATCAGAATGAAATGAGTACACAAGTCACAAGTTGATGACAAGTGTGATCTTTGATATGTTTAAACAATGCTTCCATAACGTTCTAGCCTTTATTGAAATCAATGTTTTTTTTAACATATTTGAAGGACATCACTTTCAATATTATTAGTATCCGCCAATTTAATATGCCATTGGCATTAATCTTTGCCATGTACCCATTTATTTATTATTTTAAAAATCGGAATATTGGTGACATGAAAAAACACTAGTGAACTTTTCTTCTTTTATAAAGGCCTGGGACATGTATGATTATGTAATATTTGCATAGTATATACTTAACACAACACAGTGATCTGTGTTTAATTTAAATTTAACAACAGATCAACATACTGATCAGATTATGTTTTTATTCTGATTTACACGAAAACGTATTAACAATACAGTCAGTGAGATAGTGATGTAATTCATATTTTCTGAGAATATTAAAAAAAATCTTGAACAATATCATATGATAAAAAATAGAATATTGTAGCTAAGTCTGGAACAACAACAAAAATGCAAAATGCTGGAATAAAGTTTCAAAGTTTACTTTAGTTGCGCTAAACGTCCACTTTTCAAAACACTACATCTGTTCGAGCTGGTTATGCAAATCATTCATATAAAGAACAAATACATGAGCGAAAATTATTCATCCTCATCTCACTCCATCTTGTATATTAAAACACGCAGAATTAACAGCCCAACTCACAACTAGACACCCATATTCCGAATGTTATTCTTTACGTTTATCTTAATGTTATATACAAGCACGGATACATTTTACTGCGCACAATAAAAGTTGTGTATGTGATATGAGAATACTCAAATAAAGTCAGATTATTGTCACAACCATTGATGTAAATGGTGCTTTTGTAATAAGAAAGGTCTCCCTGTTATGTTTGTTAATTCACTCACACATTCCGCAATCACGTATGCACAGCAAGTTGTTCAAGTTTTCTACACACGTACATTTTGATCCATCTTTAAGATAGCGAGACTTATATTTGCATACTTCTAATTGTGACTAAATGACTACAAAAAGATATTTTTGGAATCGCCAGACTTTCATGTTTTTCATGCCCGTATCTGCATTCTGTGACGCGTTACTCAATCAAAATTTTGTATTTGTAATTGTAATTGTATTTTTTAAACTTTCTACACTCGGAATCAAACCACGCGTTTTGGTAAAGTGGGACACGTTAATCATATGTCATTTCTGTGCGAGGGGAAATTCGTTGTATATAGCTGTGCATTATTTGTAGAATTTGGTTAAAAGGGTTTGGATGTTGCCCTTGGCTGCATTGCCAATAAAACCAAAATTAAACGATACACTAAACAAGACTGGCAGGTGATTTAATTCAGTGCGCGAATTAACATAACAATGTTGAATGCACTGGACAAGAACTGAAGATGATATTTTATTATTTTGTCTACAAATAAAATCCTTAATATCTAAATCTACCTCCATCATAGTTTGCATAATCATATCGAGTCACATTATCAGTTGTGCATTTACATGAATTACCAAGTATTTACCTAGTTTTCTAATTTGAAAGAGATGATAACTCCTTTGCAATTGATCAATCAAAATTACTTGCAATCTCTTGACTTTGATGGTGGATGAATACATATAATTCTTCCATTTGTGTTTTAGTTTGACGTCAGCAGACACTCGTGATTATCGCCAGAATTGCATCAATCCTCGCCATACATATTCCTGCAGTAATTACTCATACTGACGTCAATCTCGTGGGATTACTAGTATATATTTATAACATGTATTGCTAAAAAAGTTGAACAGCTGAGTGTTGAAAGTGGAAATAATACTGAGATACGCCACATTCGAATATACGTGATATTTTCTAGGATTTATTTTTTTGGAATTTCAACCGATTTTGTTAAGTAACTGAATAGTAACAAACACATGTGCTTGCCAACATGAACTATTCGCGCTAATCCGTAGATGAACTCGGAAGTTCAGAAGTTTGGAACTATTGGCCGTCTGTGTTGATATACAGTAAGATATGGGGTTATGCTCAGTGTGTATCAGATGTGGCGATTTAGTGAGCCAGGACTAGAACTGACGGCAATGCTAAAGGGACACTTTCGAAGTCCATGACACTTTTGTGTAATAAGTATTTTCCATCTGTTCTGTATTACGTCACATTGAAGGATACACTTATTCGTTTGATAATTAATAAAACACGGGCCACGTTATTAGCTAATTCAGCTAATCTGTAATTTCGCTAAATGTAGCTAAAATCGATTACGATGAACGGAATATAGATGCGACGTTACCGTCAGCTTACTGGCAGTTATTGAAGACGCAAGCTCGCTATTTGATTTATGGCCGACATAATTATTTTGAATAATTATTAAAATAAATCAGTATGTCAAGAAAATTTAATAAAGAAATAATGGATCAATATTAATTCATCTGTTGTGAAAAAACAATTATTTTCTAGACATACATTTTTTTTGACATACAAGTTTTAATCCAATTAGATCGTTGTTGTCTTGCGCAATCACATACTATTTTGTATACATGTACTTTTTACTCATGTTTATCTTCTTTTTGTCTTTTTATCCAAATGTAATTGCCGGAGAGCTTGAATAAACAAACCGGATTCGGTGATACTGTGATGGTTCTATCAACACTGGGACACGTGGACGAATATCCCAGATTATCAGCAATGTCGCCTCTTCCGTAACAACCAGTTTGCAGTACAAAGTTCGTACAAAGTCAAATCTATTGTCGGAAGACCATCGGTAGAACTTATATTGGACATTTCTACTGTAACTTAGCTGTATACAAGATAATAACAGTATAATGTTCAATCTAGTAGGATACCTTTTGAAAGCGACTCATGATATTTGCGGTGTTAACTTTTTTTCGGAAAGTAATATTTTTTTGGAAAAGGATGACGAGTTTGCAACATGGTTTGCAAAAATACTACATGGGACGATACCCATGAGCTGATCTCGTCACTAAATGCCGAAATATTACAATAGCCTCGGATTGCTGTTAATACACATTAAAAGACAGAGACGAGTCGATAATGTATAAATTTTGTAATTTATTCAAACAAATAACTGCGATCAGGCCAATTTCAGGGGGAAACAATCACGAATAATTTTAGGTTAGGGTCATTTTGACTGCAGTGGACAAATTAGTTGCTACGCTGTCTCGTAACAAATATAAAGTTAGTCGGATGTGAATCCATTTAGAACTATTAAGGTAAACACTTTACCTTGTTACTTTTAATTTAATTAATATTGGCGACAGACATAAGGCAATCGGTACGTCGACATGATGCATCAAGCATATTAATTCAAAAGTATAGGTGATTCAAGAATTGTATGCCCTGCCAATGTTCGATTTAAAAACCAAACTAATTTACTGATGAGTATACTCATCACGATCAGACCAAACATCATGGAAGAATGGGCTTCAGGCAAAAATGGCCGCCGAGATCTCGTTGAAAGCGAGAAAGCCACGAGAATTGATTTCGTCCTCAGACAGTATCGTCTTCTTCCAATAGACCAGAGTAAAAGTAGACACGGTGTTGCGAACAATTTTAAAACACTTTTTAAAGGAGAGGGGAAACAGTAAGAAAAAAATATATTATATTTAAAATAAACGTCATATTTGGTGAGTTATTGGTTTATTATTGGTTTACCGTACTATGAACAATAAATACACATAACTAAATTACTGAATACCTATACATTTTTATTTGTAACATATTTCTGATTGGAGGAGAAGTTCGTCTCATTAATTATTTTCGTTGCGTCGTTCAGTTGTTTCGTGCTGATGCTGAAGCAAAAATATTTCCACTTTAGAGTTCTGCATTATGCATTCTAAGCTTCAATAACACATCCGCCAGTGCCTGTAATGAAAGAAAACCATGATATTAGCAATGCCTTTGAAAAGATTGGTGACTTTTTTGTCCCTTGTTTAGAAAATATCAAGCCATGTTCGTTTCGTGTCAAATGAATTCAGGTGTTTAGTTTTTCCATCAGCTGTTTTTTTTATTTATTTCTAAAGCTTGTTACAGACCGGTGCAGTCAATTCTTACGGCATCATGTATAATAACACTCCATGATATATCGTCCGAAAGTTGTTTCAATTCTTCAACAATCATAGCTCCGGGAGTTATGCATGTTGTCTGTGTTTTTATTTCCGAACATTCAATGGATGTTTTATTTTTTTATATATTTTATTCACAATTAACATACCTGCTGGATATTCACATATGAACGATTTAAGCTCCAGACAGTAAGCATCATCAAAGTCATATGCTGGACCTGATTTGGGACGTCGCCTGAAATATGTGAAATGAATTAGTGATGAGAGTACTGTCTAATGGGCGTAACGTTTGTGATCAATAATTGACTTTATATATATATAACCACTGACTAATCGTGACGACACCTTTATCGGCATGTTGATGTTTATGATCAATGTGAGTTGACTGGATTGATGCCGTGTTAACGTATTATCATGTTGCGATAAGAAGATGGTCTCTAATCTACTACACGTCAATACTACGATATTGTGAAAGAAAACAGCTGATTTTGACTAGAAAACACAGAAATATATTTAAAATAATTTATAAAGAAATGTATTCCATATACAAACCGACGATAATATCATATTAACCGATAACACAAGAATATTATATACAAAATCGCTACATTTTTTTTATATTATTTGTCTTGAATTATAGCTGAAAGAAGCTGAATGAAATTCCAAACTGTGTCAGTGTGTTCAACAACTCTTGTATGAACAATAAATTTACTTGGAAATTTACTTTACTGCATAAACACGAAAACGTACAAATGGATTTGTACCTTCACATTGAAGAACAAAATAACGACGGCCACCGCCTTTTAAATGCTAAACACTCATCATAATTGAACAATAGGGTGTAATTTCCCTCAACATTGACAATATTAATTTGTATGGGCGCTACTGTTTCTGATTCTAGAAAATCACCCTAACGCATCTCTCGTAAGTTCGTGTTCTCGATGTTATGTCAAATGCACAGAATATCTTGCACTGTAATTGTTTAATGTATCTGTAATTATATGTACACCCACGTGAACTCACCATAACTGACCACAGTCCTGTCCATGGCAATCTTCGTCGACATTGTTATTGGGCTGTGAGACCATAACTCCCCCAAGAGCCTCGGAGTACCAGCCTTCCGTGTAGACAAAGTCTTCGTTGTCCACGAATTTGTATACACCCTCTTCAATTCTGTCGTTCAATCCAAACCAGTATCCCAAGCCCTGGGGCGTCAAAGTGTCAGGGTAGGCATTGATATGTCTCTTAATTCGTCTATGCAGTCCTTGGTAGTTTATGGTGGCCAGCTTTCCGCCATCGTCTTGGCACTTATCCCTAGCGAGATCCCATCTGTTTCTAAACTGAGGGAAGAACTTGTAAACGATGCCTGTTTTCGGATCACACACTTCTGTGAATGTGAACAAGAGATGATGTAAGTTAGCGGTGACATGTTTGATGTTTGAGTAGGGAGCTGGAGACAATTGGTTAATTGCATACTTAGAGATTGCAAATGGTTTATCCCTTAGTGGTAAAATATATCTTGGAAAAATGTTCCTTGTTTTACACCAGGGAAACTGTTGGTTTTAAGTAGTTTTTCAACAACAGATGTTGAATACTGAACACTGATGTTGTAAACTATAAGCGGTCCAGTATGCTCCTCTGTGAAGATCGGAAATTAATGTTTAAGTTCAATGGGCTATTTTTTGAAATGCACAAGTAACAATGCATATTCTTTAGTAAAAATAACAAAGAAAACTGTGCGAATATTTAAACATATAAACTTACCAGTTTCGTCCATCATCTGTAAAACAAATGGAAAAAGTGTAATATAATAGTAATATTTAATATCTGTATTATCTCTAGGACTTGGTGAATCAGCTGTTCAATTTTCACAAATAATATTCGTTTTGAATGTGTAATATTGTAAGCGATGTAAGAAGAATAGTGTTTAAGGTAGAAGCCTAGTCATAATTTTTGACAAAATTGATCATAAATCGCATGACAATGTTCATTAGTATATTATGTACAATCATGAAGCTAATGTTTCATGGTACAGTGAAATAGCATTATTTTATTTTATTTTATTTTATTTTAGAGAAACGTGTCCTAATATTTCTTGAAAAGTTCTATTTTTAGATCAATTCCATAGAACACAATGGTAAAGAAAAATGTCATTTTTTGACACTTTTTAAAACCCGGATTTAAAAAAAATCAGAACAACAAAAGGTACTTGATCATTAACATTAATGTCACCAGGCTAGATTGTGAGATATTGCATAATATCTCTGCCATATGAACTTGTGGTAAAAGTATTATAATAGTGTCAAAATGGCGGCTTTTCACTGAAATACAACCATCAATTTCTCGAAAAAAAGGCTGGTGACTCCCAACTTTTTTTAGGTCTATATCCTTATATTGCCTTGAAGTACAATCTATTGCAAAATGAATAAATTATGGTTTTTTTAATTTATGAGTTCCAAGCGACGATAACAATGCATGCTAAAAACGCAAAGGCTCGTGGGTAGACGCTTAATTGTAAACAACGACATGGCCATCTGACGCATGCGCAGGTGACGGTTTATTCAGAACTTTTTTTCTAACTATATCACAAATAAATGATAAATCGGTTTCAGTAGATTCTTCATTGATTATCGTGTGTTGGAGCAATTCTTACATTTTTAATCTAAATGTTTTCACGCATGCTACCCCGTTGGGTAGATTGAGTAAATATTAATTACGTTTCAAATTAAAATAGGTTATTTCGTTCATCATCAGAAAGTTGTTTTGGGTTATTACGATTCAATGTACCGCTTGTATTTTATACTTGGTCGTTTAAAATGATTTCATGACACTTACATTCGTGAAAAGATTCTAAGATGTTACTTACGTTCGCTAACTCTGTTCTGCCATAAGCCAGTGTCCATAGGACAGCCAAGGCTAGTGCGGAAAGGGCGAAATTCATTACGTCAATCTGCGAGTAAATAAAAACATATTAAAAATCTTAATTCTGTAACTAATTTTATATTTACTTATTTTTTAGAAATATATAAACATTCCCAGCTATATATGCTCACTGTGGATTAATTTTGATTAATTGCATATTTCTAATTTGATATTAGATTTCAAATCAGTAAATAAATAAAATGTTACACTAGATGGAAATTTTTATTGAATATAGTATCACAAGTTATAACGATATTAAGGTAAATATAAACCATTTTTTCTGAGTGAAATTCCGCGATTTGGTGAAATCTCTTCACCGAAAAATTAAGAATACTCTGTCAGGTGACTCTACAATTGTTGCGAAATTGAAAAAAGAACCCGTATTAAAAAAATTAATGAACATGTGAACTGAAATCACGATGATGATAAATAAAATATTTTCAAAACACGTACTCACACGGAACTAACAAATGACAAAAGACGTGTAACTCACCGTTCAGAGATGTCCGGAATAGTGCTATTGCTCGATTCATCCAACAGATCTGATACTTCTTACGTCAAGTTGGTCACATTATAAAGGGTTACTCGCTGCCACGTTGGCGTTTCCACGTCGAAACTTGTGACAAATTCACAAATTCTTAAGGCCATTATTTAGGTCATTTATTCAAATTTAAGAGCATGTTTTACATATTATTTTACAAATATTCGTTATAACTGTTGCTAGTAAAACGTGTCCCATATGCTAGACCACTTAAGTGCAATTAGTGTCAATATGTAAATGGACATCTTGTCATTTTGGTGATACCGGCAGAAAATCATATATTACCAGTCAAGACAAATAACACTGGATTCGGTAAAAGCTATGTTGATTCTTATTTGATGTCATATTCCGGGAATTTTATTATATATTTGCTATAGAGTGTTGTTGTTTTGTCATACAAATTGAATACATTCCATGTTTCAATACACACAAGTTGTTTCACAGATTATTGTTTATATGATCAGTTGAGAGAAATCGATACAAGAATTTTGTGACATTTTCTTTATCATTTTCCTTCTCATGATCTCAACTGGCATCATGGTTTTACCAACTGATGTGTGGGCTTGTTTACTTGCGTAATATATTATTAAATTTAGTTGTGTTTGTTTGTGTAGTTGGTTGTTTGGGGTGGGCGGATGTGTGTTTAGTTAGTTGAATCTCAGAACACTAATAAACAGACTGGCAACGCTATTGTTTAGAGGTTTCAGTCGGCCTAAACCCCGGCGAACGCGTGTCTCGGCTACTCTGGTGGCTCACGCTTTACCAAATTTTGCCGAATGGTGAGTACACACATTGGAAATCCTCGGTCTTGCGTGCATTTCAGTCATTCTCTGTATTCAGTTCAGATCAGATCACCCGGAAACGAGATAGTTTTAAATCGCGTATAATATATTTTATAATATATTTTTGCCCAAAATGTAGAGACAATCTTTATAGTGATGTTCTTAGTTACTTAGATAGTTACTCGATTTTCCTACGATAATTTATGTCACCATGTTTACAACAAAGCTGGTCTTATGTTATTATATTTCGCCGATCATGTATTTATTCTCACTGCTATTTAGTTTGACCTGCAATTGAATTTTATACTTTCTGTTTTACTTTTTACCCGTTTTAAGAATGTCTGTGGGCACATAAGTGTCACTAACGTAAAGAAAATATGAAGCTTCGGTCTGACATTTCGCGTCACCTTCTGCTGAAACACCACAGTTTGTCGCGAAGTCGTGTGTGACTTTGTGGACATGATTTGCATCTCCCCCAATTGTTGGTAAGACTAAAACGTTATCGCAAAAGTAAACTCAAGACACGCGTTAGATCAAAAGAAATACCCGCGTCGCCATTCTGTTTATTAGTGGTATGAGGTTGAATCTAGTACATGTATAATGAAATGCAAAATTGCTACTACTGGAAGTAAATCATTTCGGGTTGACAAATCCATCCTCTATTGGAATTCAAACAAACGTACACGCCATGATTGTGTGTATGTCGTGAATATTTGCTTCCAGCCTAGTTGGTTCTATATGTCCCACGCTATACAACAGCCCCCGCCTCGTTCTGTGAACCGCTTTGACTGGATGCAGGACACGGCGTCCGATTTATCACTGGTCATTCAGTGAAACGTGACATATTGTCTGTTTGTTTATTTTAATAATTATCGAATGGCATGTTCCAACTGTGTGTAAGTGGGCAATTGTTTTGAGAAAAAACTGGTCTTGATTTGACTTTTGTCAACTTTCGTCCAGTGTTAACTTTATCTTTTTTTTCGAAGTTGATTGAAACGGTTGTGTCTAAGCAAGTACTGGCGCATAATATGGAACATTCGATTGAGGAAATATTTCAGTCTGCATAGAAAAACACACTAGAGTGCTCGATTGACCGACTAAGACGAGAGCTGAAACGTATTTCGTTGTGTGTGTCTTATTTGGCTGTAAAGTATAAGTGACTTTCCCGATCCCGCACCTCAAGGGGACGAGATATAGAGCCGAGACGAGATTCCCCCACTGACAAGTGTGGAGAACCCCTCAGAGAAGAATTTCCCCCCTGATAATTGTATCAGCAATGACGTTCGTAATCTGGGTGTAATATTCGACGGAAATCTGAAAATGTCATGTTACTTTCAAATCATATGTTATCACTCGCGTGGGAATTGTGTGTCCATCAAAAGTAATAGGTTATCGGACATGCTCTTCTAAAATATAGATTCTAAGTTTGATTAAGGTAGCACTTTAATGTATAGAATCACCGACGAGCAGATATGTAAATTACAAGGATATATATAACATGTTTCACCTCTTTTAAATAGGTTTAGCTCGGTTCCTGTGTGTAAATAGTTTTTAAGTTTTATTGCCTGTTTTCAAAGCTTTTCATAGTCAGACATCCGAGGATTTGGCCAACATGTTAACATGCCATCATGATCTTCTTTAAGCTTTACTTATTTACTATATGTGAAAAGCGCAACTTTTTAATCACATTATTTAACATTTTTTAACTATTTGTAACACATGCTGATATTTTCCTGGAATAAACGTTACCTGTTAAAATCAAAAATCTTCTATTAGATCAGCATCTGATTCGATGCTTTTTGTTCAGAATGGTTAATAATATTCATCTTGCTTTTTCTGAGATATTTTAATTTAGTATTATTCGGGCATTTTGTTTCCTACGTATGTTTACACTATATTTATTTATTTGATTTATTTATCACTATAAAGGCATAGCAATGGGATCCACAGGCGAAGAGACATAGAGGAAGGCCAAGTAACACCTGGCGTAGAACATGACAACAAAAAATGAAGAAGATAGGCCACAACCATCAATAGACTAGCCCAGAGCAGAAAAGAGTTGAAGGAGACTGTCTGTGGTAGTTGAAAGGCTAAACGGAGAAGAAGATCGATTTTTGTTCACAAATAGGAATATAGGTAAATAAATTATTATCATGAACTTGTATTAGATATTTTGGTATGAGTTAACATATAAAGTGTATTGGACCATGACCAAATTTTGATTCAGGTTGCTACGTTACGTGTTCTCATCCCAACTATGACAGTACATTCATTGATTTTTCTCATTTGTCAAAATTACAATTATTTAAAGGACTGAAATACTCTTTGATTGCTCTCCGATATATAAAAATACTGAGTGGAGGAACGAAATAACGAACGTTGTATGTACTGGCAATAAGGTGTTATTCATAGACATGCCAGAATGCAAATATCTGTATCAGTAGATTTAATTGATTAACGTATACATATTTATAAATACATTTTTTGACTGAAATATAGTCGCGCGGAAACAAGGTTGTACATAAAGTATAACTATACAAAGTCATGATGCGATTGGTCAGATTTATAGCTAAATTATCTATCCGGTTTGAACCATAGTTGGGGACATTACATTACATTACATTACACTACATTTTGAAATAACTACATGCCCATTTAGCTAATTTAGCACAGTGCACAAATAAACAGAATTTAACTAAAGTGTCAACAAACTCATTGTGAGAATATACTTTCATTTGAATAAGCGACACCTTAAATTAGCGAAAATACAAATTAGCTAAATTAGTCATGCTAGCTAAAAGGACATCTTTTACAGTATATTGTGACATGAATATATAACAGGCAATACCCTCATGAAGGCCTGTAGTTATATGTTCTGTACATCTTACGAAAATAAAACATGAATTACCATCTAACCAAGAGACATTGTGTAGTGGTTGTTTTGCTCTAATTCGCAGTTATTTTGACAGGAAAATGTTCTATGTAAATTTTATCTATGAAATCATCACACTGAATACCTTTTACACGCGTCGTATACATCGCATGTAATCCATACACGACGCGAAGCGACGACTGTGGTGTTATAGATGTATGTTCGATTTGACTCTTTTCTAATTTAAAAACACAGTAAGCGTGAGTACGACATGCGTATAAGTGAATAGTAATATCGGTAAATAAAGCTACTGTGGGCGCTTCTCTCGGGAATTACTCGGTAAGTGTCGGTGGTATCCGGAATAATTATTTACTTCGTGGGAATTTTAATTTCATCAATCGTCTTGTGTTATAGTAGTGAAGCAATATTCTGTCAAACGTGGCGTAAACACCTTTCTGTAGAGCATACGGTTAATATTTAATTAGCAAATGCGTTTCTGGTTTTGATACCGATTATTAGTTGTGTCTGTGCTTAGAACCGTGGCCCTGCGAGCAATGAAGTGGAATATTAATGTTGATTGTTCAAACACGTTATTATGTACAGCAACATTCAAGGTGTTTGATTTTAACTTACAGATTTTTCGAACATGTGTCAAATTTAGAATGCGAATCTACGTCTATAAATTTGGCGAATGATTATCAGCAACCTTTCGCGTATATCGATTGAAATACGTCACATGGTTAGTTGAACTATTTTTTAAGCGTAGACATTTATTGGTCTGAAATCGTGAATCAAAAACATAACAGTCGTACACACTTATTGCTGTTGTTGTTTTCATTGTTGTCGTTGCAGTTATTGTTGTTGTTAATTCAATTTTCAATGTTGGCGGAATTAAAGATTCCCTAGAAGAGGGGTTAGAAACTTAGGCATTTTTTAGATGTCATGTTGCTTGTAATCCCTCATGCTGATTCACTGTCAATACACATGACTGTTGCTGTTCTATTGAAAATGTTTCTCAAATCAACAAAAATGTTCAAACGTGTAAATGTCTTGCATTCTGTGAAGGGGCCCAAATAAATTATCACCATCACACATAACTAATTAACCGTGACACATATTATAGATCAGCGTTGCACATGAAATACAGCACCTTCGTATAAATTAACAATATATATTAACAGCCGATATTAAAACTTTTTTGATTTCTGTAAATCACCTTATTACTCGATTTGTTCATTACGTCCATAACACCGCGAATGAAATTTTGAGATAGATAATCGGTATTTTGGGACAATTATCAATTAACACACATATTTCAAAATCGGAATGATGGTTCTTGTGTTTAACCTAGCTTAACCCAATTATAAATTTCAGTGAATATAACCTAGATGGTTGACAAAATCTTAATTTCTTATGTCGTTTGTATTTCATATCCCTCGTTTATGGGATCGCAGGTTTACGTCTATAAAACTATGTAAACACACTGACATAATATGCAGTTTGGGACTTACATTTAGCATGTACCAATATCGTTGTTATAATTAGGCTTAACCTTTGACCTTCGAAAGGCATGATGATTGAGGTATCAGAATTACACACATCGCGGCATTTTATTACTTCTCTGATGTTGGTATATCTGAGACTACCGCCGAACCATACGGCAAATCACTTAATTTAAGGTATATTTAATTTATGTGTCTTGCCATACGTGCCCTATTCAATCACTGCTTTTGTGCGCAGTCATACAATTACTGTCCGCATGGTTCCAATTCAGATTGGAATGAGTATCTCGGGGCTGTTGTTTGTATTATTTCGATATAGTGCTCAAAATATAATCTCTCGACAAAAAATGATAGAGAGAGAATTTATGTGGAGCATGTTCCGGATCTGCGATTAAAGAAATGTAATTATATCCGTTATTCGACCAGAGAATGTGATATATAAGAGTTATCCGTCGGGTCGATGACTTACTGGAATCACCAAATTCACAGTTTTATGTTTGTAGATGCAGACAGAAAAAATAAATCGGGGACACGTGTCAAGCCCGATAGTGCCACGTGTCATCCAAAGTGAGAAACTTAACACGTGTCCCCGATTTATGACACTCGTTTATGAAACCTTCAAGGAGAACGGAAGAGCCACTAAACTGTTTGTCTCTCTAATACTCATTCATTAATGGATACTAGTGACGTGGCAATATTAACTGTGCATTGGTTGGTTTTCCTATTACATTTAAATACAATTTAATTCATCAGTTATATTTGTTCACTGCTCTGGGTGTGGTTTATTATTTTGTTTTATATAGTATGGATAAGCTGAGAATAGAGGGCGTGCTTTAGCTAGTTACTGCAGTAATGACCATGGGCTCAGAGACAGACCAAGAAGAGTTTAATGAACAGCCATACATTAATAATATGTTTTCAAAAAAATGTGGGTCTTCCCATCCAGGGAATAATGTAGTGCTATTTGAGTTTTAGTTTTGTTGATCAATGCTACAAGCCTTCTGTTTCCGACTCTAAACTCGTAAGGAAACGTACGCTGGTCTTTATTTCTTATCATTCGACAAGTAAAAACACCGTGCAAGTTATATATAGAACAGGAAACGTCGTGAAGTACACCACACAGTACCGAATCGTCAACAGTATTGTAACGTTCGATTGATGGTAAGGTGATGTCCTTACGTTATGCAAACCACGCCCGTATGAATATAACACAAAAAATCACAACTGTACATTCACTCTGAATTTTATTCCCGTTCTTCGCGTAAATATATCTACATTTCTATAATAGTAATGTGTTATATGCAATTATATATTACAATTCAATACTAGACATTTATATTTGATATATAAAAATGAACGCCTATGCAATAATAGAATTCCTATAACAGGAAACACTTGTCAGTGCAGCCCGTACGTGTCTATAATTTATTCACATTCCGCGCTTCGCGCATGCGCGAATCTATACAAATACAGCTATGTATATTATATATTACGAGTGAAATACACCAAGCAGCTTTAAAGTACACGTAAATGTTTTAAAAAATCCCTTGCTAAGCTGAGCCCGCTCTTTCCCTCCTACGAGGCACTGTAGTATACCAAATATGGGCATATGATTACCATTAATGGCACTGTAGTGTGCGTATAGTACTAGTAGTATATCGATAACTCTGCCAAATATGGACATATGATTACCATTAATGGCACTGCAGTGGGCGTATAGTACTAGTAGTATATCGATAACTCTACCAAATAGTTGAATAGAGATTATGGAAAGATATTTCTGTCTCAAAATTTCGATATGACGCCAATACATACCAAATCGGGAGTCGCACATATTTGAATACAGTCACTCTGAAAATACTATACAAGTCCAATTTGGAGAACAACACATCGATTTATAATACAGTAACGATGTCAGTTGTTAGGAAGTCTATATCCCGTTCTGCCTCACTCCCTTATTCTCCCTCTGTCGCCACCTATTGGTTAGAATGGTCGCCTCAGCCGTTATGTTACAAATATACAATGCGCAAAAAACTTCTGCTCAAACGACGTTGTTTAAAACGCCTTTGTAAATTACGCATAATTGAAGTGTGGATAACTTTGAGCATGTTTAAATAACTGTGTTTTAAAAAGCTCCCTGATAAAAAATCAATATGGTACAATTTATCGTAAAAAAAACTGTTGTTTTGGCAGTAAACGCGGAATCGGCGACATTGGTGCGCGTGCGCTTGGGTTGACCTTTAAGTATGCACGAGCTCATTTAAGCATTTCATTCACCATATACTGCCCGAACGACGTTTTTTGTTCGATAAATCGTACTATTCCATCAAGTTAACATATTTAAGAGATTTTTTTAACATGTAAAAAAATACTCAAAGTTATTCACATCGCCTCTGTAATCGTTAGATAGAGCGAGATTGAAATGTCATTATTACGAAGCATGGCTTCGTATCACATAACCCCACAAAACAACCAACTACAAGTACGTCTACTAAAAGTACAATCAGAATAATGCCCATTTTTCATTCGCCAATATTTACAAAATTCTCGACATTTATAGAGATGTGAAAAAAAGTTACTTATTGTACCCGAAACGTACATATATTTTTTGGGACATTTATACATATATTAATGGAAGTGGGACAGACATAACAACGGCTACCATTGTCAACAACACACAACGGCTCAACTAATTGTACCATCACAACATTAGCATATTAACCCACACCGTAAATAAAGAATTCGACATTTTAGATCAGATGTTCATTTGTTCACATTAAATCTGGCACAATATATCAGCTTGATACATACGACTGAAGCTGCTACGCCCTCGCCGGTGCGCTCAGTCGTTTGCACCAGAGTGTATCGGCGAGGGCGCATTGACTCGAGTCAAATTATATGCTGGGTTTATATTATGCTTCTATTTTCGTTTCAATTTCGAATCCCGTGAAACTACAAACATCATTATTACATAAGTGGTAACTCCTAAATAATACTGCGCATAATAACGTTCCAAATGAAATGAAAATCTGGGTCCACGGTTAAACATATACAAATCACAGAATGGGTTAGAAGATACAACAATCCTAAAACCCTACCTAAAATTTTCCACTCAGAGGAAACAATGGGGCCCGCTAATCGCTCCGATGACGGAGTCGAAGTGTTAAAGAGCATATAAAAAGTAAGGACGTCATCGATACGTAATATTGTCTGTTTTACAAGTACAAACCATGAAAGGAAGAACTGCGATTACATAGGATTATTGCTTTTATACTAACAATATACATTTTCTATCTTTAAAATTATTCAATCACAGACTTCGAAATATTATTCAATCGCTACATTGTACTGTTTAAAAAAAACTACCACTAATACGAAAGTATACGGAATGCATTTCTTGTTTGATATAAACATATAAGCCAATTTGAATTTGTATAGTGAAATATCAGACAAGCAAGATAATACGTGAATAGTATTGCAATTTAATGGTTGTGAAAGTGTGTAAACTAACGGACATTTTCGTTCTCGCGGTGTATTATTTGGATCAATGTAACGGATTTCGGGCACGATTGCATATACAATGTAATGCTGTATGGGAGTATTTTCTTTGGAATTTCGTAATTTGTGACAGCAAATTTTCTTATTATCTCTGTATCAAATAGGCTCCAAGACGAGGTCAAAGCCACCGTCCTCGATCACATGGAACATACCTTAGAAGCAAGTGGCCGGCGAAATCTCGTTAAGAGCGAGAGAACGACGTGACTTGTTTTTGTCCCGCTAATTCTCGTTAATCATCGCGCGAACTGTATCCAATATGGAGCAGTAGACTCGATCGACGGGGAGAATAGAACATTATATGAGGGACAAAGCAACTCTCGGCACAAAGCGAACGAATAACAACCATTTTGTATCATGGAAGTTTGTGAAGCTCTAACATGAAACAAATATCGTCAACCGTCATTTTGTTATGCCTATTCCAAATATATTGTTAAGTCAAATAACTTGCTAATTCGAAAACGCAAACACATGTACAAATAAAAGTTCTTTAGACCCTTCACTTATACCAATAGTAGAGTAATGCGCTAGTCAATATAAACCCCGACTCTGCCCACATATGGGTATGTAAAGACAAGAAAAATCCCTAAATTACTCCCCGGGCCGCCTCCTGGGATAAAACAAAAACGCCTTATTACCATCTTATCCCGACGCTACTTTCTCCCTTCACCGGTGTTTCAACGTTTTTACTCCTTTGTGGGATATTTCATAAAAACATGCCTGACCTCTTTAAGCTTCTCTGAGCATCGCTAACCTGAGATTGTTGCTATACGTATCCCGACTCAGGGTGAAGTCGTCGGGGTTTCCATTGACTCGTGCATAATCGACACCAGACTTTAAAAATGAGTAATGCATGGAAGCTTATCAAAAAAGATCGTATAAATAGTATTAATCTGGTCATCTCCAAATAAAGAAAACACACAAAATTATATTAACGAAAATATTCATAGACACACGATGTCAAAGTATTATTAACATGTTTGTGTTTCTGATGTGACGACTTAGAATGCGGATTCGGATATATATGCAGGGGGTATCCTCGGGTTCGGCGGCACTCTCCCGTGCCTGTTCCTTACACCCTCCATATCTTTGTGCGTAATCGGCGGCCAGTGATGATCTTCTGACAATTCATTTTGAAGTTGCATGTAGCGAGGTAATGTATCCTTCCCTCTACACTTCTTGCATGTCAGGAGATTTTTCACAAAAGAGCTGTTGGCGATGTAAACCTTTATGTGTACAGAAACAGAAGAAAGTGAGAAACAATGTGTATATAACCAAAAACAGATGACGCAATTGCTGCACTGTATTGTGGGATATGCGGGTATGAGTAATGATGAGGGCGTTCCTCTCTAAATCGGTACACACATGAGCACTCTGCGTTTAAAAATACATCAAGTTATTACATCATTGCCTTTAATGTAGACAGACTTTGGGAGAATATGAATAATATCGATCTTTACGTCTGATTTTACATTTTCACACCACGGCATAATAAGATTTAGAAATAAATAAAAACATTCAACAAACGAACAAACAAGCGCAATACAATATTTAAGGTAGAGATGCAGGTTGTAGGGCACTTGGGAGTGAATTTTTTTTATTTTGTACAATTTTGAATAGTGGAACATACTCAAAAAACGATTTTAAAATATAGATAACAGGTGAAAACATTCTCTTTTTTGAATGCTTAGCAAGATTTAGCAAGGCTGTACATAAATAATAAAAAAGAAACATAGTGAAAAAAGTAAATGACGGGATCTCCATATTATGCACTATATTTAACAAAACGATAATACATATAAATTTGGAACTGTTACAGCCATTTTAATTATGAGCATTAGCAAACTTCTTACTGAGTGAATTGTCATGCAAATTAGCAATTATCTCAGCTTCTTTTTAGTACACGTCCCAGAACTTTAAAAAAAATAGCTCCTAGACGCTTTGACCTTTTGTTTTTAAATTTTCACAAATGATTGACAATGTGTTTATTGTCAAAACGCCGTCGGGGCATTGTTTTTGGTTGAACAGTGTTACAACAATCGTACAGACAACTAGTCTGGGTGTTAATTTATGCATAAACTTGAAGTAGTGAAATTTGAGCTGCCGCCCTGCAAAATTGACAACTTCATAGTAAACAGATGTACCTATAAACCAATTTTTACAGGAAACAGAAACATGGTTTAGAAGCTATTTTTTTTAAATCACTTTTGACCAAAAAAGCACATTTTTGTGCATATTTCAAGCTACAGTTTCCATAAAAATAAAATACTAACAAAATGTGAAAATTCATACAGTAAGCTTTCCGAAAATATATAGTTTTGTGGACAAGGTAGGTCATCTTGGTTTCCTAATTAGCTAATTAAAATACCTGTCAGGTAAACTGCATCTCTACCTTAAGAAAGTGTATAATATTTAATTTAATAAATGATGACGGGTAAAAAATGACTCAGAATGTATTCTATAACAACATTCCCAGAACTTGTAGGTTCAATTGATTCATATTCACATTGCACAACTGACTGTGGTTTACTCACCTCGATTATTATAGCTGCTAAGAAATTAGCAAGGGCTAGCGCTAAGATAAGAACACGAAACAGTAAATCAGGAATGTCCATCAACTGAAAAATAAACAATGATCAAATATTATTATAAAAATAATAACACAACACAGTGCCACAGTGAATTAGTCGGTTTTATACGAGGTTGGTATGTTTGCAGTTTTAAATTTATTCTGAATCTAATTCATTGTTATTATTATTAAAATCATTATGTGTTGGTTGTTTCAATCGCAGTGTCATTGGGTTATTTAACAAACGTTAAACATACATGTGGAGCGTAAACCACCGTGGCCTGGCAACGTGCATATTTATTACTCTACACGGGAATGCACAGACGAAACGCAGAAAAAACAAGTCATCTGAAGATGACACAGCCCCCACTTGTCAAATGTGATTTAGTTGGCTATGAGTTATAAAGTTTGAATGTATATGTATAAAATCGGGTAGGAAGATTAAGTTGACAATCAACACATACCGTATATCGACATATCAAGTAAGTCTATACCAAGTATGGTCTTATTTGGACTTATAATTCACAAAATTAATTACATGTGCAAATGAGCCCATTAATTAAGTTGAAACTCAATATTGCATAGCACATATCTTATATTGACAGATAAATTAATTAAATATTCAAATTAGTTCATTAATTAAGTTGAAACTCAATATTGCATAGCACACATTTTATATTGACAGATCAAGTAAGTCTATACCAACTTGGTCTCATTCGGACAACTAGTTCAAAAGATATTAAGAAAAATTCAAAATTAATTAAATATGCAAATGAGCTTGTTAAGTTGAAACTCAATATTTCATAGCACATATCGTTTATTGACAGATCAAGTAAGTCTATACCAACTTCGGTCTCATTCGGACAACTAGTTCGAAAGATATTAGCAAATATTTATTATGTTTTTATACGCACATTGTGAGACTCTGATATGCAAATTGTGAACCACGCAGTTCTATTCATATGAAGATTGTAAACCACACTTTTATTTATATGCAGAATGTTAACTATACACTTTTATTCATATGCAGAATGTTAACTATACACTTGTATTCATATGCAGAATGTTAACTATACACTTTTATTCATATGCAGAATGTTAACTATACACTTTTATTCATATGCAGAATGTTAACTATACACTTTTATTCATATGCAGAATGTTAACTATACACTTTTTTATTCATATGCAGAATATTAACTATACACTTTTTTATTCATATGCAGAATATTAACTATGTACTTTATTCATATGCAGGTTGTTAATTATACACTTTTATTCATATGCAGAATGTTAACTTTACACTTTTATTCAGATGCACAGTGTTAATTGTACACTTTTATTCATATGCAGATTGTTAATTGTACACTTTTATTCATATGCAGAATGTTAACTTTACACTTTTATTCATATGCAGAATGTTAACTATACACTTTTATTCATATGCAGAATGTTAACTATACACTTTTATTCATATGCAGAATGTTAACTATACACTTTTGTATTCATATGCAGAATATTAACTATGTACTTTATTCATATGCAGGTTGTTAATTATACACTTTTATTCAGATGCACAGTGTTAATTGTACACTTTTATTCATATGCAGAATGTTAACTTTACACTTTTATTCATATGCAGAATGTTAACTATACACTTTTATTCATATGCAGAATGTTAACTATACACTTTTATTCATATGCAGAATGTTAACTATACACTTTTGTATTCATATGCAGAATATTAACTATGTACTTTATTCATATGCAGGTTGTTAATTATACACTTTTATTCAGATGCACAGTGTTAATTGTACACTTTTATTCATATGCAGATTGTTAATTGTACACTTTTATTCATATGCAGAATGTAAACTATACACTTTTATTCATATGCAGAATGTTAACTATACACTTTTGTATTCATATGCAGAATATTAACTATGTACTTTATTCATATGCAGGTTGTTAATTATACACTTTTATTCAGATGCACAGTGTTAATTATACACTTTTATTCATATGCAGATTGTTAATTGTACACTTTTATTCATATGCAAAATGTAAACCACACACTTTTATTCATATGCAGAATGTTAACTATACACTTTTTTATTCATATGCAGAATGTTAACTATACACTTTCATTCATATGCAGATTGTTAATTGTACACTTTTATTCATGTGCAGAATGTCATACACTTTTATTCATATGCAGAATGTAAACCACACACTTTTATTCATATGCAGAATGTTAACTATACACTTTTATTCATATGCAGAATGTTAACTATACACTTTTATTCATATGCAGAATGTTAACTATACGCTTTTATTCATATGCAGAATGTTAACTAAACATTTTTATTCATACGCAGAATGTAAACCACACACTTTTATTCATATGCGGAATGTTACCTATACACTTTTATTCATATGCAGAATGTTAACTATACACTTTTATTCATATGCAGAATGTTAACTATACACTTTTATTCATATGCAGATTGTTAATTGTACACTTTTATTCATATGCAGAATGTAAACCACATACACTTTTATTCATATGCGGAATGTTACCTATACACTTTTATTCATATGCAGAATGTTAACTATACACTTTTATTTATATGCAGATTGTTAACTATACACTTTCATTCATATGCAGATTGTTAATTGTACACTTTTATTCATATGCAGAATGTTAATTTTACACTTTTATTCATATGCAGAATGTTAACTATACACTTTTTCATTCATATGCAGATTGTTAACTATACACTTTTATTCATATGCAGAATGTTAACTATACACTTTTATTCATATGCAGAATGTTATACACTTTTATTCATATGCAGAATGTAAACCACACACTTTTATTCATATGCAGAATGTTAACTGTACACTTTTATTCATATGCAGAATGTTAACTATACACTTTTATTCATACGCAGAATGTAAACCACACACTTTTATTCATATGCGGAATGTTACCTATACACTTTTATTCATATGCAGAATGTTAACTATACACGTTTATGCATATGCAGATTGTAAACCACACAGTTTTATTCATATGCAGATTGTAAACCACACACTTTTATTCATATGCAGAATGTTAATTATACACTTTTATTCATACGCAGAATGTAAACCACACACTTTTATTAATATGCGGAATGTTAACTATACACTTTTATTCATATGTAGACTGTTAATTATACACTTTTATTCATATGCAGATTTTTAATTGTACACTTTTATTCATATGCAGAATGTAAACCACACACTTGTATTCATATGAAGATTGTTAACTATACACTTGTATTCATATGCAGATTGTTAACCTTTCACTTTTATTCATATGTAGATTGTAAACCTTTCACTTGGATTCATATGCAAATTGTAAACATTAGAATGCATATTGTAAGTTGGGGATTACAAGTATAAAGGAGTTAGCGTTTCAAATGATAGGTATTAAGCAAATGTCATAGTGTCCAATGAACCCCTTTGTAAATGTAAATAACTATAGTAGCGACGGTTTTCTCTGATATAAATAGATATCACTCAAAATTCAAGTTGTTACTAAATAACCAATAATGTGCCATAAAGATTATTTTCATTATATTAAGTTACATAAATATTTTGCATAATATACATACCATGAAGAAATCTTCGAGTGGCTTCGTTGGATAGATTACTAAGAACGCCGTGAACAGTGTTAATATAATGAGCCCAATTGTATATGGAACTATTTGAATGAATTAAAAAATAAATAGTAGTGAAATGCACGTCATTTTGAGCTCTTTCCCACAGACAAAAAATACAAAAAATAGAAATACAGTGTTTTATACTTTTGAACTATTTATTAGCACGACTAAAAGATTGAACATCATTTTCGAAGGAACATGAGTGGGTAATTGGTGTTAGACACGTTGCCCATGAAAATAACTTGTCTTAGTTTATTACAAACGTATATTTGTTTAACGCCTCAAATGTAAAAATACTTACTATTAGTATATAGCGGCTTTCTAAATGGGGGTCCCTTCGAAAACAGGAATGCTACAATGATGTACTGGAACGCAGAAATGTAGAACACTACTGTACTCTCATAACACAGGATGTTCATATCGCCTATGATCGGTTCTAGTGGTGTAAACCTGGTACAAAATGAATTCAAATTGTTAGTAGGCTGGCCATTATAGAAATAAATATTTACAAAGTGCAGTATCTAATTAATTGCACAGTTTTGCGAACTCGAAATATACTGCTCCACGAAGCCGTGCGTGAATATACTGTGTTTGACCTTGAGAAAATAAATAAATCTGATTGGATGCGCCTGTCAAAATGCACCCAATCAAAGCTGGTGTAGCATCAGGGGTTGCATATTACAACGGACTTAAAACAAAACGGCGGTATGTCGATATGCCAGAAGAGGCACAATTTTAAATCCTTGCATAACTGAGGTTCTGCCAAGGTTAGAGTAAGGCGATCAAAGATGTAAGACCAGCAAAGATGTATTTATGGAGAGCTCCCTGCTTTTTCATTATATTCTGCCTTCACTGGTCGACAGTACCGCCAATCGATGTTGTTATACGATGCAAGCTTGTATTAGCTGCGAGTCGCGAAAGTGTTTCTAGGGTCAATATTGTATTGATATATTAAAAATAATTTCATATAACAGAAATACAAACATCAATAGAGAGGATAAGGACATATAATTAGTTGCACTTCACGAATCAGACAATTCTCTATATAGAAGAGTTCTAATATGCCCCAATAACATGTTGATCCATGATGATTGGAAACTAAAAAAACATTTCAAGTTCAGAATCTGAAATTCTTCGAGACCACGGTGTACCAACCAGGTAATACCACGGACGATAAAAAGAACGTGTTGGCTACATTCAGACAAATCAAAAATGTCGATAACAAATGAAAGACTAGTATACTAGTATCTGAGACAGGATGACGTCATTGAGGGTACTGGCACGTGACGTGAAGTATGTAAATGTTAATGTCATACTCTTCGGTCTATGTTACTTTGTAAATTAACTGCTTTCGATGAGACTAGCACTATATATACGAGAAAAATATTTAAAAAATCGTTGCTCACCATGCTCGTGTAGTAAGGAAAAAATAACCACCGACTTGACATAACATTTGAAGAAGAATCATGCAGACGATAGAGAAGATCATAGGCGCCTCCATTAACTGTGATTGAGGTTTTCTAGCAACTATCTTGGGATAGGCTTCATTTCTTCCAGCTGTGCAAAGAGAATGTAACAATCAGTTTTCTATATAACATTCTGAAGTATTTGTTTGAAGTATTTTCGAATTATAGCGCCATCGGTCGGTTTCTCTGCGAGAATGAAGTTTGATTTCTAGCTAAATCAGCAGACGAAATTAAAAGTTTTTACACCTGAGCGCACAAATTTTCAAGGTAACGGCAGAACTTGAAACGTGGCAATTGTCAATTCAAATATTTGAAGAATTCCAATAGTATAAGAGCTAAAACAGAATATCGTTATACAATGTTTATTGAGCAGTTTTGTTTCATTTCATAGTGGTTTAATCAGTATTTACTCACCAAATAAGGCTACTGTGGTTGTAATAGCAATATCCCAGTACATAAACATCCAGTCGCCGGGGAATGATTGGATCTGTGTTCAAAAATAAGTTAAATAGACCATAAGCAAGTTTCTGTGTCACGTGGTTTTGTTGTCAGTTATCCGTCATTTTGTAGTTCTTGTTTGTAGTTGATATAAAACCAATAATAATATAAATATTCATTTATACCAAGTGTTTTTCGGGTAAATGTTCGTAATATATACCGTGAACACATGGAAATGTACAGTCGCTTTGGGAAAATTTCCGTTGATGGTGCGCGTGCTGACGTAATCACGCGGACTTGAAACTCACACATCGTCTATTCTTAAGATACGATGCAGCACACACAGGGATGAAAGTCAGAAGCATTGTAGCTTCTCGTTGACTTATTGTGTAAACAGGAGAGCAAGAACAGTTTCAGTTAATCAGAATATTATCCATCTAGTGACGTAGATCAATAATGCGTTCAAGCAAATCGAACATAGTGAGTGACAGAATGTTATTTAAACAGGTGTGGATCAATTCTGTGAGACCTGAATCACTAGTGTGTTCGACTAAGTGGAACAGATGTAATTGGCTTGTTCGGGATTTGTACTTAATACTCCTTTAACTAAAGAAGTCTCCCTCTAGCGATAGGGGGGTTACTGTGACGTCATAGATGAAAGCAATGTTGTTGAAACAGACAACTCTGGATGTCAAGTAGTTTGTTATGTTTTGAATATATACAATTTCTACAGAAACGCAATAAAACTAGTCATTCTTGTATTCTGGGTCAGCAAAAAAACACGGAAATTATTATCCCTCCTCGTTACAGCTTTCTTCCCCTACCAGAGACCTGGAATGCTTTTTATGTCAATGAAATATATACTCACCGTGTTTAGAATGATCACAGAAATAAACTGAATCATGCTGTACATCGCCATGTACTTGAATACACCGAATGACGTCACAAGAGCTGCGCGTCCTTCCCTAAAACAACAAGGTGAATAAAGGGTAATTAAAAGTCGATTAAGATAGAAACCTACTCATAATTTTTGAGCTTGTGGCCCATGACACAACAAAATAGAATTTGTTGGTGTGTTACAGTGACGTATTTTGAGAACTTATCCTAATATGTATAAAAAATCGCTATTTTTAAAACAATTCTATATAACACAAAATTGCATTTTCTCGATTTTTAAAACTTAGATTTTTAAAATAATTCAGGACACCAAAAAGATTTTTGTCAGGTTATGTCACCAGCCTACAATTTGAGATACGGCATAATATCCCTGCCATAGAAACCTATGGTAAAATCGTTGTAATGTTGCCAAAATGGCAACTATCCACTAAAATACAATTACTAGTAGTAACCGAAACTTACTTAAAGTCAATATTCCTATATTTTCATTGAGTACTATTTATTGCAAAATGAAGAAATTCTGTGTATTTTGAGTAGGCAGATCTGTCACTTGCCCAGGCCATGTATACGATGTAATTTTAAAATCGCACTAAACATGTAACTTCCCTAAATATGTGCAAATTGTTTAAAAACAAGTCATTGTTAATGACACAGTCTCCGTCCAAAATTGTGTGATCTGACATATCAATTTGATGCTGATGAAGTCATTGAGATTAGATTGAAACCAGTAATAGGAGATGGATTTGTAAAAAAAAAATATGATTTAGTGCTTTTACACGAGAATTGAACATTATTGAATCAAATTACAAAAATAATGTTCATGTTCATGTATCTATTGGTATACTGTCTTTGTACAAAATTTAAACAGAAATGTTCATTGCATTCATGGGAAAGTAGGAATGGGTATCATGAAAAACAAAAGCAGTAAGCCATATTAGTTTGAATCACAGAAAAAATATGACATGCAATTATAACCCAATATGTATGATCATCATACCAACTTTGATCGAAATTGGCCTAGTCATCTCTGAGAAACAGCTCCGGACATGTAAAAATTACAATTTAGCGCATGTATCTCTATCCTTGTACAAAATTTAAAGAGAAACGTTCATTGCATTCAAGAGAAAATAGCAGGGGTACCATGAAAAACAAGATGGCCGCCAGTCAGCCATATTTGTTTGAATCACGGAAAAAGTACGACGTGCATCTATAACCAAATATGTATGATTATCATACCAACTTTGATCCAAATCGGCCCAGTCATCTCTGAGAAACTGCTGTGGACATGTAAAAATGACAATTTAGCGCTTTTTACATGAAAATTGGGCGTCGGCCAGCCATATTGAATTAAATCACAAAAATCATGTTGGTGCAAATGTATCTCTTGGTATACTATCTTTGTACAAAATTTAAACAGAAACGTTTATTGCATTCAAGATAAAGTAGCATGGGTACCATGAAAAACAAGATGGCCGCCAGTCGGCCATATTTGTTCGAATCACGAAAGAAAATGACGTGCAGCCTACACTCCTGTGGTTCCTGTGGCTGCAGAAAAACTTTGAAAGACACACACAATATTGCTATTTGGCTGGAAAAACAACTCGTACAATACAGCACTAATAACAAGAATAAAATCTAATGTCTTTGAGGTGTTTACACTTTTTTCGCAAAATGTTGTTAAAGGAGTATCCATTTTGGCATTCCAACTGGGTTTGAAAGGGTAAGAGTCCAAGGTACTGGCAGCACAGTACTATCATCATAATGCCACATTCAGCTGGCATACAGGTGATAATAAAATAAATGCTATTAATCTGCTGATATTTACTATATGGAGACAGCCATCTTGAATACGACTTGAAACTAAATCGTGTATGCCAGTTGACTGTGCATAATATCAACATAGCACGGCCCACTACTAAGGCACCATTTCATCCGATAACAGTCTAACTTACTTGATCAGCGTCGGGATACATTCAATGTTTGGAGTTCTAGATGTGAATGGTGAAGCTACAGATGCCTCCGCTTCGGATAAAGAAATCCCAGCATGCGCTGTCTTCAAAGCGCCACAGTCATTGGCGCCGTCTCCACACATTCCGACATAATATCTAAGAAAGATGTATTTATCGTTTGAGATGAATGTCGAGTTGAGCAAACGAATAGTTAGACATATTACAAGTGTACTCGAAAAAAAACGTTACTTTCTTTATGAATTTGACAAATGCGTCTTTCCATGATGCCTGGATGTATATGATTTAAAAACATAAAAACGTTTTGCGAGTCAATGATACGTACAAATTATTCAAATTGCATGCACTGTTCATTGTTCAATATTGTACCGCTCAAGGCGACGTCAAATAATAGTTTCTTTAGCCTTATCAATCATTAAATATGTACATGTTTTGTGAGTGGTTTGTTATTGGAGGTACTCACTCTAGGCTCTGTAGAGCTTCAACCAACTGTGCTTTTTGGTCTGGTGACATGCGTGCAAATACTGTCCCCCTTACGGCGATCTATTAATAGAAATAAATGAAAAAGTACACGTGATGTATATAATAATAAGTCACGACACGCCCTCTCTTGACGAAACACTTCTGTGTTGTGATCGGCTATTTTGTTGGTACATAATAATTGTAATGGTGGACAGAAATTGCTAAGACCACTGTAGAAGCACAGCACGTGGTGACTCTTTTGTTAGTCTGTGTTATTTCAATTACATTATTATAACTTATAATAGGACGGTAAACATCGCGATTTCCTGTTCTTCGATGAGGTATACGCTCAACTTCACCATATTCTGTGATGGAAGGATGAGTCTTTAGTACACGCTCACAAAGAATGATTCCGGAGTTGTGATTGACGTTAAAAGGCGTTAAGGTATGTTACTGCGCACTAGATAAATCGGATGCTATTTCCGGGGCACTAGATCTAAAATTGGGTAGAGGGACTGGATGCCACTGAGCCTTCAAAAGTGTGAGCATTTTTATACTCATATATTGAAAAAATCCATACACATATTTATTCCAAAGTAAAATGTTTGTAAGCCAAATTTATACCAAATAAAGACATTGCTGCTACAGTCTTTTTCTAGAAGAAACGAAAAGTCAGATTCACGGACATCCGTTGGAACAGTTGCAATTTTTGGTCAAATCATTGCGCATGTGCATAACCAGCACGCAGTCATTAAAGACTTTGCGCCCTCTATGCTTGCACTACATGAAAAATGCGACTGGGGTGTGATTGAAACGATTTAACGATCCATATTTTTGTTAAAAGCTACCCCGGACAACTACAATCTGTCAGATATGTATACAGTAAATAAGGCACACATATTTATATACCATTTCAGCGTTACATTCCCATATGGTTACTCTTGAAATATTATGCTGACTCACCTTCGGAACAAGATCCGGAAAATGTTCCATGATAACGGCGAATGTTTTCCCGTCCATTGCAAAGTGATAGGTCGAATGGTCTACCTTTTCCGCATCTCCATCCATTGTTATTTTAACACTCTCAAAATCCTACAATAACAACATACAATCATTTACTATGATTGATTCATTGAAATAGCCGGTCATTGTTACTAGGCATTAGACAAAATGGCCGCTTAGATCTCGTTGAGAGCTAGGGTTCTGTGAGTCTTGTTTTGCTCCCTCCAATAGCATTTCTCCTTTTCATCGTATCCACTGTTCCAAATACCATGGCTATGTACATTAGAAGAACAATGTACGCGATGACAGGAGAAAATGAAACGTTATTTCAGGAGCAAAACAAAGTGTCGTGAATTTCTCGCTTTCAACGAGATCTCGACGGCCATTTGCGATTAAAGGTCTATTCGTTGTAGTATCGCCATAAAAATAGGTCGGGGACGAGGACTGGGTGTTCGTCTACTCCACCATATAGCAAAAAAATATTTATGGAAATCTGTAGTATGGACCCTACTCTGTAATGTACCGTTGTAGAATTGATAAAGTGATCAATGCATCTGAGAGCGATCTTTGGATTAGACAAAAAAAGAAGCCACAGAGGACGTCCAATTTCTATTGTTTTTTCTATTGCTACATATAAAAAATGCTGTTAGATTTGTCACCCAGGTGTTAAACACATAGGACCAACCAGTCTGAAATGCCAGAATGTGCTATTATACAACGCAAGTGAAAATTTTATTTTTTATCATAAGCTCTTCGACAAGAATGTGAAGAAAAACAATATTTACCTCTTCATCGTCTAGAACGAGGGCGCTGTTCTCGTTGCTGATCTTAGACTGTTCTGAATCACTTGCCCTACAGAATGCGCGTCCATGTAGTTCCGCACGTACAATGGTGTATTGAATGGAAGAGCCCTCATCGGAAGTTGGTGCATGAGCATCAATGCGCACAACAGTCTCCTTTTCGTCAATCATTCCACATTTACGAGCTACGTGGATGGCGGTCAGAATGTTATCACCTGTCAATCAAATACCAATGTTGTATCAAAACTCACGATAGTTATACATTCTCGGAAACCGAGTGATGCATAAAAGAACAAGTCATTGGCCCTTTGAATGCAGAATTCAAATGAATTCAATTAACCCTTGAAACGTAGAATTCAAATAAAATCGATGTTTTCCTGTGAGTGAGAACAATGCATGTACTATAATAGTATTTTAGATTAATTAGACATAATTTCTTCCAATTGGATAATAATTATTTAAAAAAAAAACTATATATATATAGAAATATGTCAACAAACATGTAACCAAACGAGCTTCTCTCTGATTGGTCAGGTACAATCTTGCAAGTAACATTACATTTTGGTGAGAAAGATTAAAACGTTCAATCAAAAAGTTAAATGAAAGTAGCTATTTACCTGTTACCATAACAGTACGGATGCGTGCTTTTGACAATTGTGCGATTACAGGGTTCGTCTCAGGTTTTAAGGTGTTTTGCATAATTAGTAATCCAAGAAATGTCAAATCGCTCTCAACTTGCTCTCTGTGAAAAACCAAAACATTGAGTTGATTTTTTTACTAAACACGTATTGGTACAAGATGTTTCTGTCTCTGTCAAATATTCTATGTCTGTGAAATGTTCGATACAGGCCGTCGCACTTGGTCATATTTTGCGCGCGTGCGCATGCACAGTGACTGGTTGGCGAGAAACGATGATTCGCATTCCAAAATAAACATTGAAATCTTTCGCTGTTGTTGCTAGATACAACAATACACATGTACGGTTACTGTTAATAAAACAAGTTGTTAGGGAATAATTCGGGTGATGGGAAAAAATCCGGGAAAATATTTCAAACTGTGGAAAAAATAATTATAAAAAATTCATCTTAAAAAAATAGCAAAACAATTAGTAGCAAAAATGGCATCATGAATAAATATATAGCCCGAAAATCCTTTAGGGTAGAACAGTTTCGACGCTATCCTCAAAGTTTGACAAACGCCGCCGCCTTGAGTATCTTACTGGTAAATAATTTAAATAATTGTGCAACTCATCTTTATTAACTCAAACAAAACGTTTTACCAATACCGTTACCCAACAGTAACTTTCAAAATACAGTTCTGAGTCTGTGTGACTATGAGCGCCAGTTAGGCAAGAGAGTGAAAAAGGAGCTGCACACACATTTTCACCTTAAAAAAATCGGTCAGACAAGCAGGTCGAAATGATTTGCCTGCCCCCCTCATCTGTCGAATCGACAGGAGAAGCCATCACACTGATTCAACATAAGTTATTCGTTTATTAGCAAAAAAATCGGATTTTCTATTTTCTGTGTGTAAGTATGTCAGGCGGGGGTTGAAAACGTGTTTCACAGGTCGGTTTTATATTTAGATCATGCTCAATTGCTTGTTTTGAAAATATACGAACGATGTTAACTAGATAATTGGAAATGTCTTCGAATGCTAATAATATTCCGAAATTGTTCGTCTGTTGAGATAAAGTCAGCATGATTTGAATTGTGTGACACATCCATTATGTTGCTGTTTGAGGATGCCGTCCATTGGGAAAAGAAGACACGTGATATTCATCTTCTCACCTGGTTATCCGTTGTGCATCACTGTAAGTAATACTTTCATCTAGAATTCTGTATGCTATTGCCAGCACTCGCAATCCCTGGTGAGTATATTCCTGTAAAACCTCTTGGAAATCATCGGGAACTGAGAAAAAAAGATGAATAGTTATTCACAATTGATGCAACCATAGCAAACACTGCGATAAAGACTTTCCGTTTTCGACATTGTGATTTTTTTTTCGTTTTTTGGGAGAAAAAAAACACTGAAAAAACGGATTTTGACAAAATAATTCAGAAATTTATATATAGAATAATTCATAATGAAATGTGTTTCCTATGCACCCATAAATAATTTTTATAATTACCGATTACACAAGAATATTACAGAAAAAGATAATTTGCTATAATCTCTATATTTTTACCTTTTATTTGTCTTGAATTATGACTGAAAGGAGCTGAATGTAATTACAAACTATGTAGTATGTTTAACAACTATGTATGAACAACAATTTTAATAAATATGATTTTACTTGGTAAAAATACGGTATTTATCTGCATAAAAACGGAAAGTTGAAAACGGAAAGTCTTTATTGCAGTGTTAGCATTGAAGACGAGATGACAAAGTCGGTAGAGATATCATAATGAATAAAAATTTCGATTTCCTGTGGTTTACAAAAGCTTACACTTACCACCTGTTAGACAGACATAGGAAATGTGCTATTTTCATACATTTTCATATTATAATTGCATCTCGATGTCAATAATAGAGAAAGAATAACTATAGAACGTTACATAGTGCGTGAAACAGGGTGGTAACATGTAACATTACTCGTTTTGCTTTACATTGAGTCCTCGATGCACATGAAACTTAAACGTATTCAGTGACATTTTCATGTCATTGATTACGCCTTCTGGGCTTGGCTTCTGTATCACACCTTATCCCTAACTATAAGTGTAAGATGAATTAACTATTAATATGAATCATGTTTTCTGAGGACTATAAAAACTACCAACGGAATCTGTATTTACATTCTTAAAGAATACAATAATAGAAGTACATACATACACAAGCCACCTCAACCATCCGCGGGTTCCAGTCAAAAAATCTCATGAATAATTAATAAGATGACGTAATGCATTGTGACGTCATTCGTAAATAACGCTATTTGACCAATACTCACCGGTCAGGTTATCACAGTGAGCCGCCACTTTCTCGGGGGCACCTTTCACATAAATGACGAGATTATTGGATCCTTTAGCTTGAGTTATCACACTCATCCTTTGGAAAGCAGATGAGAACGTAAACTGACGAAGAATACCAATCTCAGGCTGGTCTCCGTGCTGTAAAATAAAAGGTATGATGAATTTAGTTAAAGTCGAATAGAAATGTTGCACCACGGAACATAAAATATATCTACATTTAATTATGAGAGATAAATTCCCATTACTTGTGAGTCTCATGGAAAAATATTATTAAAATATTATTCATAATCACATGACCGAGAAAAATCCATAAATATAGAACTTTTTTAAGAAGATGAATTGATCTTATTTGCAAATGGTCGCTGAAATATCGTTCTTGGGAGCGAGAAAACGACGCGAGTTTTTGTTTTCCTGGAATTTGTTTTCAATAAATATGCTATGAGAACTAATAATTGGAATACGAGATTTCTCATTAATTATTGATCTTACATCTTCTTGTGCTGAAGATGGGCCATCGTGTCCTTCACCTTCGGGCGTCTCACCAGGCCAGGGCATTGGTCGCACGATGGTTGGCATGTAAGTTCTGAAATCTGTCTCTTCACCTTCCTTTGGCTCTTTCAGATGCTAAAATATAGAAATTTTCGTTTAACATTGAATTTAGTTCAATGCATTCATTTTGCTTGAAGCGTTGGTTGGATAATTATTCTATCAATATGAACGAATGTTGTTGACACGCGGAAATTTGAGGATTTGGCAAATAATTTTTCATCATCGAAAATGAGATGGCATTCGACCAGTGTTCAACTATGAGGCACATAACTGCACCAAGAAAATGTGTATAACTATCATGATACGCTTTAATTTAACGTCACACCTGAAAAATATATTTTCATTTGCTGAGATAAGTTTTTTTCTTAATAGCACCCACAATTATACACATGGGCTGTAAATCATCATGCAAATATCACAGCCATCATAAACCCTTGCTTTGCTATGAAGGCAACGAATCTGAAAATTCGGGCTCCCGGACTAAAAAAATCAACTTACAATTTGATGGTGCGAATAATACTAATGTATTTACCCATTTTGTTGCAGCAAACATCTGAAGATCAAGAGGATCTCCCCTTAGTTCCCCGTCAATGAGGGTGATAGAATGACATGCACCCATGCAATGAAGTACTGGACCACTTGGAAGTTTACTTGGATCTTCGATTAACACAAAGCTGTCGGACAAATCAATTCAATCAATTAGGTTTATATTCTAATTTTATTTCACAAGTGCAGCTGTGCTGAAAAAGTAAATATATAACAAATTTGCTTTAAAAAATAGCAAGCGATGATACGAAGATTAAATTATTCAATGATAAATTTATTTTATTACCAATATATCGCAAAGATTGGAATCGTATTGTCTATTCACCAAATGCCAAAGTTTACTAAAACTTATTGAGCTAATATACATTATTTTTAAATGTCCGCCGTTGAGAGTGAGAGAACCGCGCGACTTGTGTTTGCCTTACAAATAGTGGACAATTATCAATATCATAATCACTGTTGTTTCCATGACCATGGAAACTACGGTAGTTGGAACAGTAGACATGATTGCGGTAGAGAATATAACACATATTCAGAAGCAAAAGCAAGTCACGTGGTTTTATCGCTCTCAGCAAGATTTCGGCGGCCATTTGCAAATAACGTCTATTTTCTCTGCAATGTAGTATATACACAATAGAACCACCTAGGCGTGGTTTTGTGCAAAAAACGTACCAACTCGACATAAAGAGTTAAAAATGGTGAGTGCATTATAGACATATTATTGCGGTGAATATACAATAAATAGTGTGATTCAAGCACAAATATAAACTGTTGTTAACATATACATAATAACAATAACATATTAGATGGCTAGTTGCAATCCGTCCAAGCCACACGAGCGACTATATTCGCATGCTATAAAAAATAATGTTAAGGCATACGCAGATAAACTGCGAAAATGTGTGTTCTGAAAAAGCGATCAAGCAACACACATCTGTGAGAAGAAGAAAACTTATCAGTTATATGGTGAATAAATAGAATAGACCTGAAACGCGAATGGACGGTCGAGATCTCGTGGAGAGCGAGAGAGTCACGAGACTTCTATTTGACCCTCAAATAGTGTTCTATTCTTCCCTGTCATCGCGTCCGGTGTTTCCCTGTAACTATGGTAATAGGAACATTGAACGCGATGACAGGAGAACATGAATTACTATTTTCAAAAACAAGTTTCGTAGGTCTCTCGTACTGAACGAGACCTCGGCGGACATTCGTGAATACGGTCTAGTAGAATGTTTCATAACATAAGTGCTAGTGCAAATGCCAGTAAAATGCAACTGACGACTTTCTCGTCCCGTTGGAGATGGGGAAATACTAACGATGGACAAGTATTAATTATTTACCTATTTAAATAATTAATATAAGTTTGAACCAACGTTAATTGACTAATAAATGCCGGGATAGCTCCAAAAAAGTGAACCGTATTTCTTGCATATTAATTGGCGAGTATTTATAAATGACAGTATCGTTTATTACATTGGGTATGCAGACGAGTTTCGGAGTTCATTCTTAAAGCGGAGAGGTTGTATTGAGTTATAAGCGACGATAACAACGCACGCTAAAAACGCAAAGGCTAATGGGTAGATGCCAATTTGTAACAACGACGCGCTATGACAGTCTGCCGCATGCGCAGGTGCACCCGCTTAAAGGTAGAAGCCTATTCATAAATAAAAATACCCAGATTTTTTTCATTTTTCAATAAATTGTACTTCCGGGCAATATTAGGATATTGAGTTAACAAAGTTGGAGGTTACAAGCTTAATTTTCGTGGATAGTATAGTGGCCATTTTGACAGTATTATATATGATATTATATTGTAAATTATATATTGTGAATAATGTGATACTTTTTGTTGTCCTCAATTATTTCAAAAATCTTGGTTTTAAAAAGTGCCAAGAAATGCACTTTTTCTTTAACATTGTACTCTACGGAATTGTTCAACAAAAAGCGATTTGCAAAAAAAAAAATGTTAGAACAATTGGCGAGTGTTAGGAAATGTTAGGACAAGTTTCTCAAAATACGTCACTGTAACACACAAAAAATGCTATTTCATGTTGCCATGAGATAATAGATTCACGATTTTACATAACAAACCACTGAACTACGTCATGCGATTTATGACCAATTTTCTCAAATATAAGAAGCAGGCTTCTACCTTAAAGGTAAACAATGTATTTTACACGCGTTATATACGTAGCTATTGGTCCTATATCGAATACGACGTGGCGCGTGGCGCGTGATTAATTATTCATGTAAGACGTTCGATTTGGGCTGACAAATGAGTAAACAAAATAGTAACTGTTCTAGCGTTGACATAAATTGTCCAAGGCTTTTTCAGCCAATGATTTTTTGTTGGGATTCACAACAAATCACGGAAAATCACAGAAAAGTAACAGAATTGCAGTTGACAATGTCTTTATTGTCTGCAAACGTTATAATCATTTGAAATTTTTCACGCGCTCTGTGCTATTTTTAGTAAGATCTCGCAATTGTGACAATCGTACTCATCTGGTGAAAAAGAGCCATGCAAAATTTGCGCGTAAGCGCTATCACGAACAAGTAGTCGTAAAACAGTTCCATTCCAATCGCGGAATCGACTATGGAGCGCGTTCAGTAGAAACAGAACACCCGAAACTCGTCTTACAGAGAACCGATAAAGAGTAGATGACATTTGAGTCTTAATTGGTTAAGTTCGAAATTATAACATCCAAATAAATTGAATACAAGATGTTATATTTGATTTTCTGACATCGAAGACGAGAAAGCTTTCCAGGTGCACTTAACGTATATGCTGAAGCGGTCAAGTGACCAGAAACGAATCAAGTCTCTGCAAACCTTGGTGATTCCTCGCCAAATGAAGAACATTCTGGCGTATCATGGATTGGACTGAAAGAACACCGGAATATTTGCATTTTTTTAAAATTAGTTAAGAATATTAATTCTAAACAGTAAAGCGTGAAACACAAATATCAATAGCAAGAAGAAATAAGTATGTTATGTTCCATGTTTAGAATTAATACAGACTGTGTTTTTAATATAACACTGAGACAAAGAACAACTATATGTTACATAACGTGTGAACACATACAAAGCTGTTTTATAACACCCTAGTGCACGCAAGTCTGTATTACACAGAAGGGTCCCAAAAACAGACAATAGATAACAATCATTAATATATGCGATAAGGAATTATATGTAAAGCATGCATTTATTGACCCTTTGTCAAAATCATGCTCGCAGATATTTAAAAAAACATGGTATTTCTTTAGAGTGTAATAAACAAATGCTGGCACCTAGGTCCTATAAAAACGCGACCTCTGGTGACAAAGCGCGTAAATGAATGCTAGAATATTGTTTTTGAGATACTTGCTCTATTCTAAGACAACTTTACGCTACACAGTACACATTACATCTATCGCTATTCTAGTTATTCAATATTAACGGGGCGAAAATGACGTAATTCAAATAATATTTAGCTAAGTAGTGATGATATTTTGCTGCTACGTGAGTGATGGTTAGTTGCAGTTATTACAAAGGTTACAAGTGGTCGAGTGACCTGTAAAAATGAAGTCGCTTCAAACCTTGAACCTTCTTTGTCAGGCGAAAACTTTTCTGGCATAGCAGCAATTAGACTGAAATTGAACAAAATAATCACGTAACAGATAGACGGCTGATTATAATTAACAGAAAATTACCAATGGTTTCAGTATCACGTGGTATTTTCGTCCGTATACGTCATACAATCTGATACCTCGCTCGTTAAATAAATCGTGCAATAAATACTAAAATCGTCCTTCAAATAAATATTTATATATACTCAGTGCATGACAGGTAAATGTTGATTTGAAACACACAACAAAATCCTATCAGTCACATTCCTTTGGCTGATTTGTATATTTGTACGAGGTTATGAACATGTGCGTCATGGCCAAACTGCGAACGAGCCTAAAAACTGATGACGTAATCGGACATAGTATCATGCGCACTAAAAGCCCGCAAATGTTTTATTTGAATACTGACTATAGTGTTAGTTACGTGCAGACATGGAGTGGAGTTTAAATAACTCGATACTGTAACTTTGAAAGCCGGGTCCACCATAGACATCACCATATTAGTCATGTAATTGTTCCCATGTGATGCTTCAAGCAATGTGAATGGCTAACCTTAATCACGTGGCATCGTTAGCCCAATCAGATTGCCCAAAGTATCCCATAGACAGAATCTTAAAGTGTAGGTTATTGTGATCTCATCTACATTAATCAAGCAACCAAGATGCCGAGAAGAATGAAGAAGTTGATAGTACTGAACTATGAGCCTAGATTTAAAGAAAAGAATGAAGTTAAATAGACAGGAAAGGTGAATTATGTTTGTTAATTAATAAATTTACCTTTCAGATGTTATTGGAGCAACGCCAAGCAGTTCCAGATGATCTTCAGTTAGAGTTCCAGTCTGTAAAATAATCATATAACTTGATGTACACGTAATGAATTATAATATATCAGATATTCCAGAATTCTACTTGATTCTTAGTAAACAGATTCAGCTTTTGATATTACCACAGTACCAAAATACCCCAACATTTCATAATGGGTTGGAACCGCACGATTTGTCGAATTTAAAGGAATTAAAGAAATTCCAATATTTATGACTGTTTCAGATATAAGTTTCAAGCGCTCATTTCCAGTAGGTGATTTTCCGTTCACTTCGAGCTCGCGCGCCTTATACATGGAAGTATATAACGTCTGCCACAAACAATGATTTGATATTAAACTTGAATTTCTTTTTTTAAGTTCAATGTCGAAATGGAGTTGACATAACCTTACTACATCAAAATCAATCATCAAGTGTATATAGCACATTGTTAAGCAGTGGAAATACACCAAAACAGTTTCGAGTTTGTCAAATTCCACGAGCGCGTGCAATGACGTCATTTCAAAACGTTCCAATGTTATGCCATCGTCCAATAGAAACCTTTTGTTTCGGTTTGAATATATAAATAGTTATAACAATTTAGGGAATGGGCTTGTTGTGCTTGCCGGAATTTTTTTTATAACGACTTTACCTTATCAAAGCATACCACATCCAGGGTACCACTAACGTTAATTCTCTGTGGACTGATGCAAAATATGCCTTTCTTCTTCAGCCGTCTTTGAGCGAACACCATACCAATAGTCAGGGCTGCGGGCAGAGCTGGTGGAACCGCAATTGTGAAGATATCCAAGGCTTTGATGATGATATCCTTTACGGTGGCCTACAAAAAAACATATATTTAAAGCGACGAGATCACCTGCGCACGCGCGGCAATTGAGTAGGCGAGAATAACAACTCACGTTATAGAACGACACCTGCGCTTTAACCTTTAGCTGCAATAAACCATTAGCGCTTTTCTGTGTCACATGGTATTTACGTCGGATAACGCCATATTTATCCACCATTTTGTCGTCTTTGTTTGTTGTTGGTTTTTATGAAACAAGTAAACATTTCTCAAGTATTCATTCGATATAACACCAAGAGCTTGCATGTAAACGTTCGACTTATATCACGTGAACTCTTAGAAATGTGCAGTCCCTTTGCACACATTCGGATAAACATGGCGGTGTGCGTCACGTGCGAACTTTGAATCCGCAAGCTGCAGCTATATTGAGGCTCACAAATCACCTATTAATGATATGATATACGAGTTGTTTTTGAACGATGTGGTCTGGACTCGGACAATAACGCACAGGTCGGTAACAATTTAGAAAACCTTACCTTTTTCATTATTTTCACAGTGATAATTAAAACAAATCCAATGGCAGCTAAAAGATACAAACAAATAAAATTCGCGAATGAAACGTCGAACGATTTTGCCGAAAACTTAGATCTGTAACTCCCGATACAATTTGAGAAGTGGTATGAACTAGAACTGTAACATACTTACCGATACTTGCCAGCACACCAATAAAACGCATTGCATCACGGTATAATTTGAAGTCCATGGGTTTAGGGTACAAGATAGACCGGACCAAGGTGCCTTTTGAAGTCGAGAATCCTGTAATTCAAATCAACGTCACTTGGGCGATTGAATAGTATGCAAATGATATGCAAATAATATGACATTATTACCGTTATGAATGATGTATAGGCCAAATAGTCAGCAATACTGCTATTTTCGACAAGCAAGTCTAGGGTAAGAACTCATGAAAGTCAAATTATAAATACTTCTACAATATAGTAAGTAATTACGAATGTTATAACATACCTGTCCGAAGGACAACAGCCCTCACGTAGGTGTCCGGTCCACGCCGACATTGAATGACATCAGTTCCGCAGAATAATATATGCCTTTTATGCGTTTCGGTGTTGAGTATTCCGAATTCTTCAGGTGGAAGTGCAGTTTTTGTAATCGGAACGGATTCACCTACACAACGAAAAGCATGGATGTTTAGACATTGTTGATCGTGATAGAGAACACGTCTTTCATAACTAGCGCCCTCGGGCGTTGAAGTTTTTATGTGACGTAGCTGGGTGGAAGAAAGGCCTTTCACACAGCGTCGTGGTCGTCCATCAATACAAAAATACTATTTTCTAGAGATTAATTATATTCTATTTGAGGATACATACAAAACTATACACAAGTGTCGCTCTGAACGACCTTATTTCACCCTTCTACGTCATTGTGATGTCAAATAATCGTCGGTAGAGGGTAGTATGGGAAAGGGGCTTTGAACCTCAGACTGCTCGTATTATACTAATCAGAGATTGAACGTAATGTAATGTTCAAATGGCGGTGATACTCGCGACGCGTCTTTTTCGATGTGGGATCCATACCATACGACGTTTGTAACGCGTAATTGTTTAAAAGAAATACGAAAGTAAACTGCGCGAAGAACATCCATATAAATATATTAGCATAACTTACCGGTAAGCATACTCTCATTAACTATACAGGATCCAGCAACCAGTACTGCGTCACACGTCATCACACATCCCTTTAACGGAAGTGTGATGACATCACCAGGAACTAAGTCTCGTTCTGATATGACATCGTAAACTGTGAAACAACGCGAAATTTTAGCTGAATTAAATATGGCTATAGAACGGAAAACTATGATTCATGGAAGAAATTCCAGACACACGACAATGTGTAAGCAATAAGCACACCAAATCAACTGGATGCCATCCATCACAACGTGACAAAAAATAAAAAATAAATAAATAAGGTACTTTTTAGATAATTTTCCGTAAATAAATTAGAGTCTGGATCGCTCATTAACCGTGCATAATTAATGTACTCTGTGCTGCAGTTGTCGTCAAATTTTCTGTGAATTCTCGCTTTTTTTAGATTTGGATAAACCTACATACCATCGCCTCCTCTCCACACAGTTACATCTGTAGACGATTCTACCATCTGTCGTAGCGTCACAGCTTGCTGTAAGATAAACATCAGTAATATATTTGAGTCAATGCGTAGCAACTCTCAATATTATGCCTGATTGGCTACCCAAAATTAATACCTTACAGTCAGACCAATCAGAGAGCAGTTAGTTGTTTGCAACGTATCAAATCCTGCCTTGTATATATACTTTGACTCAACTGACGTGTTTCAAGGACAGCTCAAAACGTCACCTTATTCAGTAAATATTTGTATCATCGCAGTCGTCACGCAGTGTGCGTCCTATTTCTGTGTAACCATTATGTACGATGGATAAAATCGTTGGTTCGAATCCATAGTATTGAAAAATTACAATTTTTTAAATAGTTGGGAGAAAGTTGTATTCTGCACACTCATGGGAGATCAAAGTCGTTCTGAAAAAAGTTTGCTTACTGATAAAGTGAACAAAGAACCTGTCCTTTCCCAATAAACGAGCATTGTTTAAAATAAAGAAACCCATGAACGAGGACTGTTTAGAAAAAAACAGTTTTTCTAGTAAATGCTGACAAAGAATTAGTGCGTTGCTAGTAAATGACAGACAAAACTGAAACTATTCTCTGACAAAAGTAAGCATCACACTTAAAACAATGGACACGGGGCAAAGAGTGGAGTTCAGTAACTGGCATCATACATAGGCGTAGATGATAGCATTTTTCAAACGACCAATCACAATAGCGGAATGTGGTGAGATATTACTATCATTCGAGCTAAGCGTCGCTGATGACATTTTCAATCAACCAATTACATTTGCAGCCAATAGCTGAGTGTGATGAGATATTACTAGCATCATACATAGGCGTAGTTGACGGATTTGTTTCAATCATCCAATCAAATTTACAGCCAATAGTTGGCCATGATCATAGCGTCCGTTTCACTTATAGTTCTCGTGTTATTGGGAGGTTTCAGAGACTTGGAGAGAGGCTTGTCGATTCTGCACTTGAGTCTTGCGAAAGGGAGAAAGATGATTATCAATTATCTAGTCTCAATTTGAATATTGTTTGAATGGTTCCTACCTTTCGTGTACTGTACACTGTCAAACTGATAGATACCATGGACATTACCAAAATGGCGACTGAAAAATAGATATACTGGTAACCGATAATCCATAGTAACACACTGTATAATTGAAAGATATAGAAGGGATTCATGGCCTGCAATAAATGAACAGAATCATGATTTAAAATGTAGTACCAGCAACAATATGACTGTACACTTAGAGTCGGTTTACAGTCAATTAATGACACACACGAGATTGACACACATTTATTTTGCTTGAAAGGAAAGAAGTTTGTCAACTCAGAAACCATTACATATGCAATATGGATTAGAATGTATAATTCATTCATATCACGCGCCAGCCATGTATGGAACGAATTGGCGGCGAATCATACATGTATTATCGAAATTCGAAAGACCCGAAAGCGAGGCTTGTAAATGTGAGTCAGCCTGCATTGAACGCGACATGATAAGAGCAAATTGTTAAAATTGTATTTTGATACTGTGTGTCAATGAATACATGTATTAGACGACTAAGTATTCGTTCGATGAATCGCTGATATGTTGTAATACGCATGTGCATTAGTTGTGTTGGTACGCACAGTAACAGTCACTGTCACTGCGCATGCGAATTAGTGTTTTTCAACTTCCCTCGAACGAATACAGTTCTGTAAGCTATGCAGACGTCCTGCATTTTAGTTAATGATAAGTCAAAATTCAACTTGGTTATCAAAATGCATATTAACATATATATCTTTGCATCAACAGTGTATCGTGCTGACATGCATGAGTTATTATTCGTATTCGGTGTATAGTTCAATGTCGTGATCGATCACATATGTATATCGCTCTATGCAAATATTTTAGCATTCGTGCACCTGAATCTCGTAAACATGTTCTAGACCTAATATTTTTATTCAGATGTTTTAATAACATATACGACTCACAGTATATCTTGGGGGAAAATCATTTCTATGTTCCTGAGCGGGTTCTCAGAAATAACGTCTATTTTATAACGGTCTTTCCCTATTAATATCAGAATATTCCTTTTTTTTATTTTATCTTTTTTTTTTTTCAAAAACAAATTGTTCTACTTATTTTACTAGTATTTTTAGGTTATGTTAATATTTTCATATGAAGTAATTGTGTTTTGTCATATATGGTTCGGTTGTCTAAGATGTTCTTATAATTTTTCTTTTTACCTTTGGAAACAGTTACGAGTAAAATAAAATAATTCCATGTGATGAATAGGAGCGAGTAATTGTATATGTATATTGTATGAACTGACCTCTGTTATAAATAGCAGAAAGATCGGCTTTAGTTCGATTCCAATAAGATTTTCTCCGTAAAGATTTCGCCTGAAACAAAAAAAATGAAAAATGTGATGACGTACCAAGAAAGTGAAATGGCTCCATAGTCCAATCAGACAAGTGGCAGAACAGTTAGTAAATCTTTACATTTAATTAGTATATATAATCAGTGCAATTGGAAGTTTTAAAAATGTCGTTTACCTTTTATCTTGTTGCTGTAATGACATTCCATTGTATTTACTGTAGAAATCACTGCATGGCGTATCAATATCCAAACCTCTGAAAAAGTCAACAAGAAAATGTTGGTAAAAACAGTTCGTGAAACCAACCACTTTTAACCAATGCAAACAATAATCAAAAGCTTGCCGTTCCGAAAAATTGAAATATGATGCAGTGATCCGGCTTTAACTTTTTGTTTTGCATTAAGAATATTCACTGCCTCGACAACAAGATATATGTTCAAGATATAGTTAACAAGTGGTGATTTCGAATACATGCATTAAAGGTTGATTTGGATCGAAAAAAACATCCTCTGAAATTCATTGGTACACGAAATCTTGTTTCAAAAACTCACCTCAATTTGTAAAAATTCTCCTCATATGGGTCCCATAGATATTTCAGTTTCTGGTATCGGAAGAATTTAATCTTCTGTTTTTCATCGCTGAATATTTGCACCTCTTGTTGAGAATTCTAATGAGCAGTAAACAAATATATATACATGTAAATATATGCTTTTTCAGAGATAAAAGAGACACTTGAAATTACTGAGGGATTATATAACTGTTTGCATTGTATAATGGTGAGAAGTAGTCCAAGAAAAAAAAAAGAAGATTTCTCTGGTCAAGTTTTTCAAAATTGACACGCGGGCGAATTTTTATATTTTATTCTAAAATTGTGATAGAATTTGTGCTGATTGTTTCTCTGCCAAACACTAATTAAAGGAAATAATGCGACGTGCGCGAGGACTAGAATCATGAATATTGTTATTGGGCCTTTTATCCATAGAGGATTATGAACAACAATAGGTTTTAGATTTTCCAGCGGTGTCTCCAAAATACCTTGTTATTATAACACATTCTGTGTATAAAGCCCGAACAGGATGGTGATTTTTAGTGGACATTTTCGCTACTAACTTCTATTTGACCACTGTCTTGGAAATGATGTTGCGTTAATCGTTTCATATTTGGACTTCGTATCTCCTAATATGTTTTTGCGCGAAAACGCTGTGCAGAAGCAAAATTACGACAAACTCTAACTTATAAAATTTAGTTTCATCGACAAAATGGGATGAATCTTTTTGGGCACTTTGTGGTTATAAATCACTTGTACAATACATGTTATTTTGCAGTGAAATTTTGAACTTTTTCTACAATGGAACACACTCAAAGACGGATCGAGCATACTTTTGTCTTGAAAAAATAATAATTGTTAGGACTTTATTTGCATAGCAGCATGTGATTAACTTACTTAATAACGACTGCAAACAAGTGTCCGTATATATGAGGAACTTGACATCCTCACACATTTGACTATACGTAGATTTTGATTAGACATTGACAAATTGCTCAATACTATATGAGCCATTTGAAACTGGCATGTGGCAATTCTGGTGCAAAATAAAAGATTATCCAAATTAGACAATAGCAAATTATCAAATACATCTATTTATTTATGAGCACTCAACAAGAAATGAAATTTGAAATACCTTCACCCTTCCCATTTTTGATTGTTTTGAATTGTTTCAAATATTCATCCCCTTATGTTTCTCCTGCTAACTCTTCCTGCATTTGTTAATATCTTAAATATGTAATATAGACGCGAGCACGTGATTTGTTATTCACGAATACGTTGGACTATGATTTGAAAATAAGAAAACGTTGATCTTGTTATACATTATACGAGTTTTCGTTAGATGAAACAATTACATTTTCTAATACACATGCGCACTGGTTGTTTTGCTGCATATAATGACAATCACTGCATGTGCGTATTTAGTGTTTGTATTTTATTAAAGACTTTCTCAAAAGCAAAATTGTTATTTTATGGTAAATTATAATCCAACCTGGTCTACAAAATAGTATATCCAACAACAGTATTAACAAATATTATCAACACGCTTTCTGAAAATACATAACATTTCATTTGAAGGACTGGTAAATAGATGCATCCTTAACGCCATTTTGACGCCAAATGTGCGTAGTGCAAACTTGAATCACGCTCAACTTGCACGATAACTAATAACTGTCGTTGTCATGACAGTTCACGCGCTTAAACGTTCTAAGGTTACATCACTGCGTTTTAGTAACGCGATAACTGCTCAACTGAGCTTGCTCGACTGGTACTGCCTACTACATGTTAATGCAAGTAATTGGTGGGGTAAGCATGTTTCACAACTTTTGTGAGAAAGGCTCTAGAGCTGTTTGAAGATTATGAGACTTGGATGGAGGTAATGGTGGCGTCCATGGGGGGTTTAACAATTAACACTTAGTCACTTACCGCGACATGCGTTGCATGCGTATTGACTTTTTCCATTGAGCCATTGACGCCTTTTTCTTTGAAATCCCCATCCAATGGTTCTGTTGGGGTATTAGATGGCGGTGTCTTATGTGGGTATTTACGTTTCTGGAATGTTGAATCGCTGCAAATATAAATGAATGGCAATAATGTATTACAGTGTCTTCGTGTTTCAGTCATGAAATCTTGGAATATATGCAAATGACCGCCGATTTATGACTATGATATTTGGAACAATGGACGCGAAGCAAAAACAAGTCACGTGGCTCTCGCTCTCAACGAGATCTCGGCGGCCATTTCGCGACTAGGATATAGTGGATGTACCACAATAAGTAACTGCATTGCCTATGAGTGTTGAAGGGCGAAACAGAATACAGAATGGATGAACTGCTTTTCTGACCTATCGAATTGAAACAAATTACAGATGAAGCGGCGCTATTTGTCAAGTTATAGGAACTGTCAATAGATATAGACATTGTGTGAAAATCCAACCTACCGGACATATGTGAACAATCAACGAAAATCAAATACTGGAGTTATAACGACACGATTCCGACCTTGAGAACGAAGGGGAGCGAACTGTGTTTACTTTACTAGCCCACCAGCGCCAGTAAACTATCCCGGGAAATCTCAATCTCAGATTGTGGAACGAATGTAAAACGTAACGTCGTCATTTGAATGCAAATTCCTGTCGAGTAGGGCACTACTACCGAGCTTTGATTCAACCTCGGGGGAATTTAACCTTTTAATTATTCAACCAAATATTCCATCAAAAATTTATTAGAATTGGGATTGGGAATTGGAAAGACAGGCTTTTCCACGCCATTGGAAACATCGACAGGACTAATTTGATTCGTTCGTGTAGGATGTCATCGCATGACCCAGTGAACATTTACTGGTTTCTTGCCTCT